TGTTTAGAATATCTAAAAACCGATATACTTTGTGACGTTATGTAATGAATTTCATGATATTGTTAAAAATTTTATAAAAAATATCTATGATCGATTATTTGAAGAAAAAAATCTTTAAATGCATAAGATGTATAAAAACAAACATGAAAATATTTGATAATATGTTGTTATTGTCTAGGAGACAATATGATATCTATAAAATTCTAACAAAATCAAATGACGATTTTGATACAAATATGGTCGGAAGTTAATGATATAACAATTATAGCCTATGTATAAGGTCAATACAGGATATATCGACCCAAAGAAGTATATCGACCTCGGACTTCGTCCTCAGTCGATATACTTATTTCAGGTCAATATATCCTTGTATCGACCTCATACAAAGGCTATAATTGTATAATTTTAACGAGGCCGGATAAGGTACCGGTACTTGATGTTTTTCAACTAACAAATGCACAGATTTCAGTAAAATATGATTTTTTTTTTAAATACTTGATTTTAGGAAACGGCATACAAAAAAGGTTGTGATTAAGGTATTTGACACTCAATTGTTTTTTCTTCCTATTTAATAAAAAGAATCCTTGTAAACATGTTAGATAGGAGGAAATGTTAATGATACACTTTGGATGAACATAACATATTGTTTCTTTTTGCTAGTTTTATTCCCTAAAATCTAATTAAGATATGTTCAATGAAGGAAGTGTTGTGAAGGTGTCATTATATTTGAAGTATAAACGAATGAAAGGAGAGATGGGGTTCACGTCTATGAGACAGACATCTCAACTTCAACATCTATATTTAAGAATAGGTATAACATATCAGTATTTTATTGAGTGGTTTTTGCGGTTAGCTTTATCATATAGTCTGGGGTTTGTCAATCTTTCATGGAATGGTACCAAACTTAGGAAGAAGCTTCCTCATGAAAAAAAGATAGCATCTGAAAAAAAAATTTCTTTAGATTTTTTTTCATTTTCTCATAATTTACTTATAAATGGATCTAATTTTTGGTAATGCACATTATACACCTTTACACTGACAGCAGCATTCTCAGGCGTGTACCCTTACGAAGTTTTTTTTATCAAATGACAATATCCAGAGCAAAGTTTGGAACATATTTTTCTTCATTTTCCCGTTTTTCAAAGACAAATGGACTTAGGATTTTTTGCAGTTATGGTTTATATATAGTCTACAAGCCTACGAGGAATTTTAAGAAACTCAGAGAGAAGCTTCTTATTATGAAATGGCAGTATTCAGAGCAAATTTTGTAAAAATATTTTCAGTTTCTGTATTTTACTGATAAATGGACTTAGTTTTTCTTCCAGTTAACATTAAATGCAGTCTGCAGTTAAAAGTTTTTAAAACATTTATTAGATTCATAAACTATCCTGGATTTATACCAAACTTTGACAGAAGCTTCTTACAGCGGAGGGGGCATTGAGTGTTTCCCTTGTCCGTTCGTATGTACGTCCCAAAATTAGTTTCCATTCTCTAACTTTAGTTTGTCTCAACCAAATGTTATGAAACTTATACACAATGCTTATTACCACATAACACAGATCAAATTCGAATTTGGGTTGCGTCACTTTTACTGTTCATGAGTTATGTACCTTTATAACTTATATGCAAGCGGGGGCATCATCTGTATCCCATGGACACATTCTCCATTTATTTAATAATAATGTTGTCAAACATTCTTGGGATTTTATGAAACTTGGATAGAAGATTTTCTATGAAATTTTCCAATTTTTTAATATTTGACTTCCACAAGGTTTCACTTGCTTTCCGATATTTTTTTTGTAAGTGAAAGTTTTACTTCTTTCATGAAAATAACACATTTATATTCCGTTTACAACCTTCATGGTCGGCACTGGGCTAATATATGGTGTATAATTATATTTGTGTAACATACTGTGACGTTTGTGTCTAGGATTTATGTCTGCTTATTTGTTTAATGAACCGTTAATTATTCGTCAACTATTGTAAATATGAAAACAACTTGGTGAGACGAGCAGACTTTTTACATTGGTTACCAATATATTAGTTCTCCATAACTAGCCAATTGCGTTGAACAATTTTTTGTCGAATAATGCGCTGTATTTACTTTGAACCTAATTTAATTTAACTTTCGGAAGTTTTGGTTATCAATGATCTTCAACTTCGTACTTCATTTGTCCCTTTTCACTTTTTTGATTCGAGCGTCACAGATGAGTTTTTTTTGGCGAAACGCGCGTCTGGCGTAAAAGAATTTTAATCACCGACATCAACGATATTTGACGTTACATGAGCAACAGAGGGATGCCACATGGTGCATTCAGAGTTGCTGAGTCTAGTTTTCTCTTTAGTGTTTTGTTGACTTTTGTTGTTTTGGCGTTTTTCGGTTTCTATTTTGCCATGGCGTTGACAAGTTTCTCTTTGACTATTGAGTTTTGCATGTCCCCTTGCATTTATTTTTTTAAATCTACACCATGTTGTCTCTGATGGGAAGTTGTTACATTGGCTATCATGCGACATCTTTTTATATTATAGTTCCAAACATTAGATTTTATTCTTCAATTATAGCAATTTGACGAAGACTTCAGACTCCTCCCTCATGATCTCTGTAGGATTTGAAAAGTTGACATGAATTATGTGTTACATTCTTGTTTCAAAGGTATTATTGACTGAACGCGAAGACTAGCAAGGCTATCATTGGTGTTTGTGTCCTTCTTAGGGAGCCTGTCTTTTATTTCGAATATGGTTCGAACAAATTTTGTTTTTGTTTCTTGCATTATTTTATGTTGAATTTACACCCTCACTTTGTGATTGACACTTTTTTGTATTTTAGCGGACGACTTTTTGATATTCTTAGGGAGGGGATTTTCAAAATCCTCTTGCTTACCGCTACCATCATCCCCATTCCTGTAATTTCAAATGGTAGTCCCGTTTTAAAAAAGATTATTGCTTCAAGGGCTAAAATGAATACAAAAGGGATTCAAATGTTATGTAACGTGTTTATCTCTTGTCATTATTACCCCAGATCCAAACAGACCTCTGTCAAAAATATATCGAGCAGGATGGTGATAATAAAAACAAAAGATACAAAAAAATAACAACAGGGAAATTTTGAGCTAGTAAAACATTTTTTTCATTTTGGCAAAGATACCTAGATCTATACTCTTTAAACTATCTGTTTGCAATTTTTTGAAATCCTCCGTTATTTGGCTGCGTGTTTCACTTCAACAAGGTGTTCATCGGAAAGATAAGTACTGCGTTAAGTCGCATTCGGTCACGATAAAACAACAAAGGAGGACATAATTGAGGGTCCGTAGTTATTTTATCATAAGAACATCTAGCATTTTCATAAAGATAACAAATAAAGAAGTATGTTAACATTTTCTTGACAAATTATTTTTCAGTTGATTTTAAAGAACATAAATATATAAATTTTTGATAGCTTCTTTTTATAATTATATGGTTTGCAGTGCACACAACTTGAAGATGAAAGTTTTAACATTGTCACAAATCTAATCATTTTCAAACACTTGTGAAACCGAATCGATTTATTTTACTGGTATGATTATAAATTATAAATGTTTTTGTCATTTTAATTGATTTCTTTAATAATATAATTTTCAACTAATTCTGATATTATCGCGTAAGCGCATAGTTGTATTTGTGACATAAACGTCTTATTCATCAAATTATGAAATACTGGATCTGCAATAACAAAACTTTAGTAGGGTCCCAGTATAGTTAGAATATCAGTCGGATCATGTAGAATTTCGTCTAGTAACTTTAATTTTTATGATCTACGCGCTTTGACTCTTTAATTTTTACTTGGGAGGTAGTTGGTTGTTTTATTACCTTATAATTTTTTGTGATTTATACAATATTTTTGTGCATAAACATTCAGTCAAATGAAGTTACAATTCTTCGATAGCGTCACAGCAGTTTGAAGATAAGTAGTATCAAATCATGTGAAAAAGGCAAAACAATTATAGATATTACAAAGATAAGCGTTGTACCATGACATTATTTGGTAAATGATACATTCGTATATAACTCTTATTGCGTGTTAATGAACGAAGATGTAGGGTAAAGGTTAAGCGCTTCGGACGCATGAAATTATCAAACGTGTTGTTTTCATTTGTTTTTATTAGAACAACCCAATGTCACAAAATCCTTTTAAAAATGTTTGGTTTTTTTAAACACCCTATATATTTGAAAAAATGAAAACAACATGTTATAAATGTCATGCGTCCAAAGCATGATGTAGGGTAAAGGTTAATAGAACAACCCAATGACACAAAATCCTTTTAGGAATGTGTGTTTTTTTAAACACCCTATGTATTTGAAAAAAAATGAAAACAACACGTTATAAATGTCATGCGTCCTAAGCACTTTTCTGGATTTACCTTCATCAGGAACGTTCAAAGCCGAATATTTGAAAGTCAAGGATGTACGAGGACCGAAAACGTTGCAGAGCTAAGATATCTTAAAGTTCTACCTCAATTTAGCAATCTTTTATGAATAGGACGACAGTCTCTGTTGTGCATACATTAATCTAACTGTATAATTTATGATTGTAATAAGGACAATCTAATTGAAATATAGATCTGTGATTTCGCTATGCTTATTGAATTTTAATCAGATTGCAAAAACAACTACAGGCTATTATTATACTTTTGAAGGAAACAATAATTAGTAATGAAAATGATAATAATTAGTAATGAGAATGATGTTTCAGATTTCAGTATTGGAATATGTTTATGTGAAGCACATCAAACACTAGAAACCAATTTCAACCAAAGATATTTTAGTAGAACAATATAAATGGATCATACCTATTTCAAGCAACAGATATATAGTTTTTTTCGAGTTTAAGTAATATGAGCTGAAATGGGAAGTATGCTTATTTTCCTTTTCCCCTCTTCATATATTTTTAATAATGCACAAGCACTTTTGTTTTGGTTGGTATATAGGCTATCAACAATGAAATTGTTCGAAATATTTTTCAGACAACTGGACATAATTGGCATGTTCATCAAAAACCAGTAAAGAATGATGTTACTTCCGGTTGTGTTAGCCCAGGTGGTCATTACAACCCGTTTATGGTTGATGTTATTGTAAGTATATTATTTTGTATTTTCATAAAACATGAAATCTAAAAAGCTTAAATTCCTGAAAGAGACTAAAGACACAAAAGAGACCATAAAAAATCATTAGTCAAAGACAAACTAATGAAATCATGACATAAAACCCAAAAATGACGAAATGACAAATAACACCAAATAAATAAACTGTTGACACATAGATATGTCTCGCATGTACGTATTTTTGATAGCAAATGCAATTGTAAAAGTTAAATTGCAAAACTTTTAAATGTATACTCTGCAAAAAATTCAAAGTCAATGAACCATGACTGAAGGTGCTAGGCAAAACAATCTCCATGTAGATGAGCTGTGCCAACGCTTATACAACTGCATACCAAATATCTTTGACTTATGAAAAGTTCTTCCTCTTAAACTGACATTGATCATAAATTTTAACATGTAAATTATGCAAAAATTCCAAAATCATTGAACAATGATTTAGGAAGCGGGGCCATATAATCTACATGATATGTGCCATTGCTAATACAACTGCATACCAAATACAAAATATATCTTTAACTTAATTTAGTGGTTCATCTCAAACTGAAATAATCACTAAATTTAACATGTAAACTCATTGTGTAAACTATACAAATGTTTTACGCGAATAGACCATGACTGAGGGGGCGGGTCAAAATAATCCTCATAAAAACATGAAATGTGCAGATGCTTATACAACTGCATACCAGATATTATTGACGTACCATTAAGGTCAATCTTAACCTAATTGATCTAATCAAAAACTTTAAAATATAAATTTAATAAAAGTTTAAATGTCAAAAAAGGCGATAGATACCAGAGGGACATTCAAACTCATAAGTCGAAAATAAACTGACAACGCCATGGCTAAAAAAGAAAAAGACTAACAGACAAACATTAGTACAAAATACAAAATAGAAAACTAAAGACTGAGCAACACGAACCCCACCAAAAACTGGGGGTGATCTCAGGTGTTCCGGAAGGGTAATATATCATGACTGAAGGGGCGGGACCAAATAATCTCCGTGGAAATGAGGTGTACCAATGTTATACAACTGCATACCCCTTATCATTGACCTACCACTAGTGGTTTCCCTTACTGACCATATCAAAATCCTATACATTGTGGACGCCTAAGGCATCGTCATGACAAAAACTACATACTGAGCAGCATGAACCCCTCAAAAATCAGGGGTTTCAGGTGCTCTGGAAGGTTTAGCAGATCCTGCTCCACATGTGACACCCGTCTGGTTACTCATGATAAGTTCGAATTCAGTGTTTTAAAAGTGTAAATGTTATTGGTATTTACCACTTCAATTTTTGTTACAAAAAGTAAAAATTAATTTTCTGCCTTTTTTCTAAATAAATAAAATAATACTAATTTCAGAATAATTATGATGAATGTTCACCGCTTAATCATTTACGATGTGAATTAGGAGATCAGTCCAGTAAACTGGGTCGTTATGACATTGGAAGTGGTAGAAAGTTCTATACGGATATGAATTTACCACTGGTTGGACCATATGGGGGTAAGTGTTTTGTGTTTTAAGTGTGCTTTAAATGTTAAATACCAATTCCTCCAAACATTTATGTATAAACATAATGTTTCAATAATAACGTTTGGACCAGTTTTTGTTCACAAAGATATATTTTATATACTTTTTATTTTTGTAATAGGTTAGAGAACTATGAGCTGACATTGGAGGTATAGTCATTTCTTTGTCATAAACAAAATAATATAAGCAAGAATAAACACGACTTCAATCTACATATGATTTTCTAAATAGTTAGAACAATATACATATGATTTTCTAAACAGTTAGAACAATATACATATGATTTTTTTAAAAGTTAGAACAACATGTGATTCGTTTTTTTATTTTGCATTTTAAAGGAAACGATAGTTAACACTTTGTAAATTTCGTGCACGCTTTTCTGAAACGGTCAAGCCTAAACATTTGAAATCCAAGAATGCCTGAATAAAAACATAGAAACATTAGGAGCTATATGACCAAAAGAGACATAAACTGAATTATCAAATTCATCTTATGACAACTTTGCCCGACGGAGTTTGGCAACTGACAACGCCATGGCTAAAAAATAAAAAGACAAACAGACAAATAATAGTACAGATGACACAACATAGAAAACTAAAGTCTAAACAACACGAACCCCACAAAAACTCGGGGTGATCTCAGGTGCTCCGGAAGGGTAAACCTACGTTTCTGAATTGTTGACATTTTAAAACTTAATGCAGGATTGATATACAGAATATACCTAACAGTTAGTTTTTTTATTGTGTCGCTTTAAGTATGGAATCCGGTGAGTATCTAGGGAATGTGATAACTCTAGCCTTATTCATTTCAGTTGCTGGAAAAGCATTTGTGATACATGCTGAGAATGGTGGAGGACCACGTTTAGCGTGTGCTGATATAATCCCAGTTAACAAAGCGACTCCTCTTCAAATGACTTTCGGTGATATGAACTTTGATAAGTAAGTTGACATTTTTATAACAGTCGTGCACAACTATTGTCAAAGGACTTAGGGAATTAGTTTTTGGTTAACTTAGGGGCCAAATCATGACTGTCATACCCATTGCGTTGTTATTAAAGCACTAACAGATATAATTTGTTAAGGAATACTATGGAAAATGAATTTACTACTCCTTATAGACTTTGTAGCAACAAAGTCATCAAATACTTTGTATACAGTAAATTTTGCTAAGTAAACGCTTTAAATTTTAAGATGCTGAAATTTAAAATGATAAAGCCTTTGTTTGCGAACCGTGGTTTTTCTGCGTAGTATTTACAGAAATTTGCAAGTGGTAATTATCAACTATTTTGTAGATCAGAAATGGTAACTCATTTAGCCAGTGCATTGCACACGTCACCCACTAACTTAGCAGTTTCAGACGCTAAGACTAATACAGATTGTATGGCTGTAACAGTGTACTTTACTGGTAAGTACAAAACATGATTTGACAATAGTAACTGTAAACTTCTCAAAACTTCAAGAATAAAAAACATTAATGATTACTCTAAAAATCTATTTTTTCTCCAAGTTACTGTAGACAAACAAACGAACAGAAACGCATATGACTGAACCTTTGAATGATATAATGTCGGTTTTGAATCAAGATAGGTTTAAATCGACGAAAAAAATTAAAGTATGTTGATAACTATGCATATGTCAAATTCGTGTTTGTTACTTAGAAGCTTCTTAATTAATGAAATTAGTTTCCACTGCATACTACGCTGATTGGACGTTTTAATTGATAGTAAATTCAGTAATTGCTTTTTCTTAATAATTTAAATTAGCTGACAACCGCACATGAATACCAATAATGGACATAACTTTGATAATGTCAATATTCTTGTTTCCTAATTGTGGATGTTCCTTTTCTGATGACCCATATATTTGCATAAAAACAACAACAACAACAACAAAACAGTTTTACCCCGCATCTAATTCATGTGTCTGTCCCGAAAAGAGGCCGAATAGTGAGGTGACAAATAGGCAAAACGTCGATAAAATTTTGAATTTGATCTTCCTTAATGATACACGGCTTCAATGGTCTTAAATTAAACACACGTATGTCTACTTTATTTTCTACCCGTATTTTACATTTTCTCCCGAAAATCGGTTTAGACTATTTTTTTTACTTATGTAATCCATCTTTTTCAAATTATTTTTTTTACTTGTATGCTTACATTTTCTTCAATTGAATTTTATTTTTGGAATAACCATCTTTCATAATTGTCAGTGAAGGTTTTCATTGGCATGTTATCTATAAAATTTTACAATTTCAAGTTGTTTGAAATATCGGATTTTTTCGTTAAAATAAAGACACAATTTTTAATTGGTTGTTCATATAAGTATACATTGGTAACCAATTGTGTAATAAACCTCATAAACATCCTTAAATTATTCCTGATAAAAATTTCTCAGAGGAGATAGTGGTATAAATATGTGCATATAAAAATTGCTACTAACTAAGACATGTCTCTGACCAAGCCACTCCATAATGAAAATCCCGTTAAAAAGTAAAATACAAAAAATACCAAACTCCAAGGAAAATTCAAAACAGAAAGTCCCTTATCAAATGGCAAAATCAAAAGCTCAAATACATCAAACAAATGGAAAACAACTGTCATATTCCTGACTTGGTACAGGCATTTTCTTATGTAGAAAATGGTGGATTAAACCTGGTTTTATAGCAAGCCAGACCTCTCTCACTTGTATGACATTTGCATAGAATTCCATTACATTGACAACAATGTGTGAGCAAAACAAACAGACATAATAGGGAAAATGTCAAAAATTGGGGTACATCAGTCAACATTGTGTTATTATCATAATCCCAATAAATACAAACAATGTCAACAAAGAAAAACAAAATAGCTTATAAACACTCTATAAACAAAGCACATAAGCAAATATGAAAGACGAGAATACAAAAAATGACTTTTCACAATAACACAATGTCGGGATGTCAATGCTCTTCAACTTTGTACTTGTTTTGGCTTTCAAACTTTTTTGATCTAAGCGTCACTGGTTAGTTTTGTGTGGACGAAACGCGCGTCTTGCGTATTACATTTTAAACCTGCTACCTTTTGTTAGCTTTTATTCGTATGTTTCTCTGTCCTATATGTTCTCCCATTTATTTGTATTGTAGTCCTGTCATGTAATGTTGTCATTTTAATGATATATTTAACATTGCCATAAAAGCGGGAGGTTTGGCTAGCCACAAAACCAGGTTCAATCCACCATTTTTTTCTTAAAATGTCCTGTACCAAGTCAGGAAAATGGCCATTGTTATATTATAGTTCGTTTCTGTGTGTGTTACATTTTAATGTTGTGTTTCTGTTGTGTCGTAGTTCTCCTCTTATATTTTTCCCTCAGTTTTAATTTGTAACCCGGATTTGTTTTTTTTTTTTTCTCAATCGATTTATGAATTTCGAACAGCGGTATACTACTATTGCCTTTATTTATATACATACCGAGCCACGCCAAAAGGATATTACCAAAAATGGACTAAACAGTGAAGGTTAAAAATATACAAAGACAAATAAAAATAACACTATAATACGTAATTAGGATGATAAACAACGTCAGTAACTAGAATCTACACTTCAAAACCATTATGTATTATTTGTGAAGAAGACACCATTTGCTTCAAACATCCTTCCAGAAATGATTCATATCTGTGTAAACAAACTCCTAGATCTCCACTAACATTTGGATTGATTGAAGAAATTATTATTCGAAATTCCAATGTTTTTGTATTTCCTACAAGTACTTCACAATGGCTCAATTCCTCAAACCGTGGACAACAAATCTATATTTTAATCAGATTAACAATGTCAGTATTTAGTGCAAATACTAAATTAACTATTTAAGTATAAAGACATATTTTCCTTTTCTAAATGAGGATGTTCCTCTGGTCGCATCCTATGGCGTGAACATTTGTTATCTATATAGTTTTCTAGAATATGTTACAATAAGCTTTTTTAATGATCTAACATTTCATCAAAACACAAATAGTTTTAAAGGAGAAGATATACCCCAGACTTTGGAATACTTTTTTAAATTCTATATCAGCATACCTGTTTCTCATGAAATATTATTTAAGAAAGTTTTACCATCCCATATTTTCAATTGACATGTCGTAAATAGGAGTGAAAATTACAAAATCTAGGGGAAAGTTCTTACATCTTTCAGCAAGGGAAACATGCATGCTTCAACTTTATCGTTCTTTGATGGTGTGCCGATTTTAAATAATTTCTGGCCTCTCACAACTAGCCGATTTCAATTGAATTCATTATTAGACTTCATGAACATGTTAGAAGTGTTGTTTCTCTCTTTTTTTCATGAGTGTCATTATCCAACCAAAATTTGTGGCAACCTTTGCTTGCTTTCTATAGTACTGCACACGTTTTGAAAAATAGTTTCCTATGAGCAGAATCCGTCTTGCACATACTTTTGTTCGTGCCATGTAAGGGAAATATGTGGTAACATAAATACACTTCTTGCAATGAATTACGGAAATAACGATGATGAAGTACAGACCTGGGAACCTTTGACAGTCTGTTAAACGCTGCAAAAAGAAAGCATTATAATAGAGATCCTATAAAAAAAGAACGTAAGGAAGTAAAAATTACCACCAAAAAAGATATCTATCTGATTAAACTTTCCAATTCGAAACAGTTATATTGAAGATGCAAAACAAATTATTGTTGTAAAAATCATTTTGATGTCATATTAAAGCATTTTGTATTACTGCTTTTGGACTGATACATAGTATACAATGTTAGTTGAAGAATAATTTGCAGTAATTTCTTTTATACTAAATGATTTTACGTGAAATTTAGGCCATGTTTACTTTAAATGGTTGATACTTCATATTTTGAGTTTTATAATTAAAAACGTCATTTTGAGAAATTATTTGTGAATAAATATCTAGAATTTAGTTGTTATAAGAAAATCTACTATAAACGAAGTCAAAGAAGTATTTTTTATTTGTTATTTGACAGAATATAAAAAAAGTAAAAAATTCAAAATTGATATTCACTTAAAAAAATGTAGATGTGAAGTTCACATTTAACTTTAGTTTTAAACAATTGGGACAATGTCTGATCCTAACGACAAGATATTCTTATAGTACAAGGTTTTGTCTTTCAAATGATACATGATTAAGCTGTGTATTCGGCGGGGGATTAAATCAAGAAAAATCTCATTGGTCACCCCACAAGGAGATACCATAAGGACAATAGAAATTATAAGTAGAAGAAGAACAGGCAATAAATACAATTGAGCAAAAGAAAAGCGTCGAAAAGACAATAACAGTCTACAAAACTCGAGAATAAAACTAAAGACTGAGCTTCATGAGCTCCACCAAAAAGCTGGAGGGATCTCAGGTGCTAAGTCATAATTGACTGGGGTTGATAAAGAGCATTATAATTGCTAAGCAACTGTCTATTGTTGAAGACTCTATATTGTCGATAAAATGTTTTATTGTTGTTTATACAATAATTCACATTATAAGGTATAGATATAATTACAGGTTTTCGTGTACACATTATAACTAAACTAACAGTTATCTTCACAGTTTTGTTTTGTTGCGAAAAAAACGAATTTAATCGGAACTCTGTTGAAGCCAAAACAATTACAAATGTCTATTATGGCGTTTTTTTTTATATCAATTGGAATTTTGAATTACTTCATTCATAACTTCAACATGTATTGTGTTCGAAGTTTATAATGTTTGTAAAAGAATTTATAAGAGTAGATTTTTAACCAATGTAGCGGTGAATTATTTAGGATAATGTCTTGATCTATGCAGTAAATTATTTGTGCTGTATTGTTATACCTTAAAAACCAATAATATATGCTGCAGTTTCTTTATCATAATGATTTTTCTTCAACAGTTAGTTAAACTACAATCAAATTATCCTTTGAATAGCATGTTTAAAAACATTTAATTAATATTTTATTTAGGTTTAATGTGCCGTAAATTTAATCTAACATCTATATTTCATCTAACCTTGAAGTAGGTGAAATTGTGGATAATTCGTCTCATGACAACAAAGCGTAGAACTTCTTATTTTACTAAAATGCGAGCATTTCACATAATGTGAAGTTCAAAACAGAAGCGGTAATTTATTACCTCAACCATATTAACTTTTTATACTGGTAATCATATACAGGATCATTTTCGTGAATTATGTGATAATGAATACATGAATAACACTAACAAGTCTTACCAAGCTCAAGTAAATTCCCTGTAATTTAATTATGCTAATTTGGACTTTCCCATGCAAAAATGTTTTCGTTATCTTTTATAACTTAACATGAATTAATAATTTCAAGTTTGTACTGACATATGCTGATATTCTGTATTCGTTTAACATGAATCAGGTATTAAACCAATACATGCAAGCTCTTCGTGAGTTCTTGTTACTTAACGAGTATTAAGATTGTAAAACTCCTTAAATGAAAAAAACATATATTTGAGGATAATTTTAATATGTTTTTCCCATTTCTCTTCCCCGTTCCAAAGGAGGGGTATACTGATTTATGTCTGTCCATCCGTTCATTCTTCATCCTGTTCGTCTTATGAAAATTTCTCGCATTTTCTCAGGAGCTACTGACCAGAGCTATCTGAGTTTTGGCAGCAAGCTTCATGCAAGCATTTTATACCGTGTAATACATTCACGGATTCCCCGCTTTTCAACTTCCTGTTGACAACATGTTCAAACATGGATATTCTAATACATAATGCAATGTATGTCGTCTCGTTGAACAACAAATCAGGGCATCCTGAAATTTGAAAACAAGCTTCGTATGAAATTAAGGCTACAGTACTTTTCCAATGTTCGTGTAAGCATGAAAACCGTGTGATGCGTGTTTTAATCAATTGGTCATCAACTTCCTGTTTTCCCCCCAAAAAATAGTACTTATAGCAGGGTATCATTTGTCAGCAAAACCTTACAGTTCAGCTTGTATTGGACTTGAATACTTGCTTATTATTCAACAATACAATCTTTTGAGGGGATTGTTTATTATTAGATCAAATTGATTAATATCCTTAATGTTTTAGCATGTATACGTACTGAAATTGTGCACATCCTTTTATTGAAATGTGTGATTTCTTTTTATTCGTTTTATCCTTAAATTATATTAAACTTTCGTCATACGGTTTTTGATTTGCGTATTGAAATCCTCTTACCTTTTAAACCCGGATCTTTGATGTCTTATTGGAAGTTGATGCATCTCACATAATTTTATTTTACGTTGGTACTTAGTAAATATTTTTATCGATTGTGCCTATTTAGTAGACCTTAATTTTCCTTCGATTTCAAAAATGCCTGAAATTTTTAAAACAGATCTTATCAAGCGAAATTTGTTAGAGATTTTTTATGTGTTATCTTCACCAAAGTCGGTTCAAAGAATGTTTGAACGCATATTAGTGTTTCGCATCTCATATTTAGAAAGCTTTCTATGATTTATTTATTTTATACTGTTGATATTTTTTTAAGGTACTATAAAAATTCCGCACGGCCTTTCTACTTTTATAGACAATTAATTATTGCCTTTTATACAAGGTGCCACAAAACCAGGTTCAACCCACCATTTTTTCTTAAAATGTCCTGTACCAAGTCAGGAAAATGGCCATTGTTATATTATATAGTTCGTTTCTGTGTGTGTTACATTTTAATGTTGTATTTTTGTTGTGTCGTTGTTCTCCTCTTATATTTGATGCGTTTCCCTCAGTTTTAGTTTGTAACCCGGATTTGTTTTATCTCTATCGATTTATGAGTTTCGAACAGCGGTATACTACTGTTGCCTTTATTTCTACCTCTCCTTTATTTATATGTATTTAAATTTGGAGCTAGCATCTTTAATGAACTTTCAGAGCCACGCATCATGTGCACTGAAATCGGTGTCAAAAGTTTCTGGTAGCCATCACATAGCGAAACATTTTTTTGTAAACATTATACACTGTTGTACATATTAGTGTTTTATTTCATGACGAAGGATGTAGTATTTCTATAAAACAACTGTTATATAGAAATTAAATATATATTATGTATAAATCTGCATTAATGTTTTTTTTATCATTTTAAGGTCCCAATGCATCATCCATTAGAACAAATTTAAATAAAATGATGAAAAAAGGAGATCAAAAACTTGGTGCTTATAGAGAGTCAGTTATATGTTGTTCTTGTAAGTATACATTAGTTATTTTTGTTTTAAATCTAAAAAATATTTTCTACCACAAATTTAAATGAAAAAAAAAATACCAATTGATACTTTTTGATTCGACCAATTCAGAAATGGTGATTCTTTATAATATACACTGTATATAAAAATATGTCGTTATTGTTTTGGAAATTGCTATTAATCGATACTCCCATTAAACGGACGCAGAAACAGTGCGAAATAATTTACTATGAGGTAATTGGTCCATAATCAGAATAACAGATAATATATATAGTTTCATTGAGTAATACTGAATTTTCAGACATTTTTTTTTATATTAAACTAGGTTAGAGAATTCGAAATAAAAACCTGGTACAGTCTTTCGAAATGTACCTTATTCAAATATTTGAATTCTGTTAAACCATATTCTTTTTAAAATTTGAATTTTCATCGAACGAGTCTTTTATTCCATTTTATCTATTCGAGAATGGGGTTTATAGATTTATTCACAGGTACTTGTTGAAGGGTTGCCCAACTCTTTTCCACGCTCTGTAAATGATAAGTGTTGCATAACTAGTGATAAAGGTTACTGGTGGTATATACATGCTCATTCAGAACAAATAAAGATCAAATACTGCATGTTATTTTTCCAAGGACAAATTTTGGAGAGTAAAATCGGGATCATTTTCTCAACTGGGAAACTACAAGAAATCTAATGCATTTTGGACATACGTTATATTAACGAATGACTATTTTTCAAACTCAGCCTATCGGAGAAAGTGTAAGCATTACAAAAGAAAACACCGACATCATAAAACATGGCGATATCAAGCGAAGTTTAGAAATAGGTCCTATCGATTATCGAATTATCGAAAGCATCATCGAAACAGAATGTTCCGACCACGTTACCACTCGATGAATAATCATCATTACAGGCATTCCGTAAGTTAATCATTGGGTGTTTAGTTCTAAGAGGTAATGGTTAATTTACCCTGAATATGCTTCCCTCGCTGGTTTAAAATCCAAACATGATGGCAATTTTAATTTGAATAAATACGTTTAGGATTTGACACCAAATTTTCACACTATTAATATATTATTTAGGGCTACATATTGTTGATTTACAGATTATTTTGATATAATATTGTAGATTTTACACGTTTTTGTATAATTTTACATCAAAAAAGGGACGAAAGATACGAGAGGGACAGTCAAACCCATAGATCGAAAACAAACTGACAACGCCATGGCCAAAAATAAAAAGACAAACAGACAAATAATAGTACAGATGACACAACATAGAAAACTAAAGACTAAGCAACACAAATACTACCAAAAACTGGGGTTATCTCAGGTGCCCCGGAAGGGTAAGCAGATCCTGCTCCACATGTGGCACCCGTCGTGTTGCTTATGTTATTACAAATCCGGTAAATAGTCTAATTCGGTAGGTCACATTCGTGAAAAGGGAAGGGTATTGTAGTTACGACATAAGGAACATATCCGATGTCATCTGTGAAACGGTTATTCCGTAACGGTCAACCAACTCGTGATGGCGTCCGTAAAATTTACGAAGGGATGATTTCAACTTCACCATTTGGAACTCTTGGTTTAATAGCTTCCTTGTGAGCAGCAATCCTCTATCAAGGAAATCATGATAGGAAATACAAGCCCGGGAATATCGTATCAGTTGGGAGATATATACTCCGTATGCTGGCGCTGCTGGGATGTTGCTACATAGAAATGGAAAGTTCACAATTGGGAAGCTGAAATCATCTCTTTTGTCGTAAAGTTTTGTTTTCAACCGACCCTCAACTAAACGTATCAATTTGTATCCCCGGGGGAAATTTGATTTTTTAAGATGTCCTTATTTACTTTTTAGATGAATACTTTGAAATTTATCGAAAACTTTGAAAATCAGTTTTTAGCCATTTTAGGAATTCATTAGTACATGTTCAGAAATTCTTCACAATGTTGATTTAACCATAAATTATAAAAATAAGGAGATGTGTTATTACTGCCAATGAGGCAACTATCCACCACATACCACAGAAAGAGGATTAAACAATTAAAATTAACGGCACGTGTTTAACAATGAGCAAAACCAATACCGTCTGTGAAGTTATAAAAGGCACTGTCATGACAATATGTGAAACAATTTAATGTGAAAACCAGCGGCCCAACTTATGCTTAAACATGAAACGTTGACAGGCAGCAACCAAAGACACCCACTTAATTAAAGGCGCCTGTGACCACCTACGTAGTTTTGAAATTCCCAATTTTAGTAAAGCTTGAAGGATTTAAACAAATCTGTGTATGAAATCAATTCAGGCAAAAAATTTCCTACCTTTTCTTTACTCCAAGAAAAGTTTCTGCATGGAGCAAGATGATTTTTTACTGTTTCCCTATCCTTTGTTTCAATATTTTTGTTTTTTCTTCATATGAATTGAAATTTTTATGTTTTATGATGTACCTATTATTTACTCAGGTTCAATGTTTTGTGGTGTATGTGTTTTCCCCTTTTATGTAATAGTACCTATTGTTGTGATTAAACATGTTTTATTACACGATGACCTTGTATAAAGCAAAAGGTTTAAGTCATTTTGTTAATTATAAGTGTTGAGTTTTAGTCTTTACACACACGAAAGTAATTATTAAAGAAATGATTTTGTTCATCCTTTGCATGGTAAGTGGAACTGCACTTTTTGAGTTGCGTTTCGTAATAATACACCTGCCAACTAACTTAGGGCTATACATGGTATTACAAATGTATAAAAGAATATTGCCTCTGATACTATACCATGATATTATCTAATGCTGATACTTATTCAAAATTAACTTTTCTAAAATTAAAATTGTTAAGAATAAGATATGAATTATAAGTGCAAAAATAGTAACAATATGCAGAAGTACAGTAATACTTATGAATTAGAATCAATCATTTATTTGAAGAAGAAAAAACTAATATCATTATTGGCTTTTTTATTATCAGCATTTTCCAATTTAGCTAAGTTTGCCTGGTGGTCCATACGGCTCCGGTTCTATGTTAGCTTCTCTCATTTTCATCGTATTGTCTTTAATTCCGTCAATGATCAAATGGAATTAATTTCATTTTTTAAGTATCATAGTGCATGAAGATTCATTTATTAAATATGACTTTGCAGTAGAATGAAAAAAAAAAGGATTATGAGGGTCAATTCTTGATAATGTTGATTAATAATCTAATGACTTTTCTTATTTAGCTATATTGATCCATCTTTTTTCAAACGTTAAGAATTGATTTACTCCCTTTTAATCATCATTTGTGCATCTAAATAGCCACTCATAGAAATAAGGAATGCCAGAAATAAACGCACGAAATTAATAATGTGTTAGTTTGATTTAATGAATAGAAGAAAAAGCAAGAAATGATTTACATTTCATAATTATTGATTAAAAACACATGTTGCATAAAACCTGATTTGAATCACACTCTTACTTTGGAAGTCAATTTCAAGTCAGGAACTTGATAGTTTAGTAATATTTTACGTGTTTATTCCCTATTTTTTTATTGTTAGAATGATTATTTGAATATATTTTTTAAATGATTGTTAACTGTTTAGAAATAAGATTTAATCAATAGTATTGCTTCATGTCAAATTAAAAGTGCATTTCAATTTAAAAAAATAAACGTTTTCAACTTTGTTGCATATGAAATCATGCCAGTCATGTCTTCACTTTGATTAGTCCCAATATAAGAATTCCAAAGGATTCCCGCACTTATTTGTTACTTTTTAACAATAAAAAGTTTTCAAGTTGAAATATAAGATTTAATCAATATTATTGCTTCAAGTCACATTAAATGCACATGGCAATTTAATAAATACATTTAATAAATAAATGTTATGAACATTTATTGCGTATGAAATCATGCAAGGAATTGTTTCCCCTTTGGTCTAGTCAAGGTTTCACCATGATTTGTCTCAGTTTTAGAATTTCAAAGGGTTTTTTGCTATGACTTTAACTTATGATAACAAAAATAATTACGAATGACCTTGATTTTTTCTTCTATAAACATGTTAAGACTGCAGTGGATTTGGTAAGGTTAATTGAAAAAATAGATGATTGAAAATGAAAATTTAACTCTGTAGTAATATTGTAGTCACTATCTGAGTGCAAATAGTTAATTAACTAGTTGAGAATAATGTACAGTTCTATTCCTTTATGCACTCATATGTTTATAATGGTAGATTATATTCATTTCGTTTTACTCATTCTACACTTTAGTACGTCACCTAAGTTTTTTCACGTCTGAAATTTCTCACGTGAAGTGACCCATAATGCCACAAATGTGACTCGTTTATATGTATGTACCATTGTTGATACATTCGTAATGATACCAAAGGAATGTCCAAACTCATAAGTTGTTGACAAACTGGAAACGCCATGGCAAAAATACGACCACAAAGCAAACAGCACAGCAAATTTAACTAAAGACCGAGTAATACGAACCCCATCAAATATCTCAGCTGCTCCAGCCGGAAGGGTAAGCAGATTCGGCTCTACATGTGGACCCCTTTGTGTTGATCATGTTAGTATGAACTCGGTGATCAGTCTAATTTTGTGGTTTCACATTCAAGGAAAAGAGGACGGAATTATGGTTACGACATTTTAAACATAAGTCACCTATTCAATGCGCAATTGAAATCTTTTTCATGAAACGCATAACTGTATATTAATGAAAATCAATTGCCACAATACAATGAATAATGTGTTACCGAAACAAAAAACAAAAAAAAATATCAAAGATTCAAAACGGAGATATTCAATGCACTTGAATTTATCTCAAAGAAATATGTCAGCAACAGACTACATTTATATTGAAAACTTATTTGTTTGCAGTTTGAACGAACTTTTGTTTTCGTGTGTTTCTTTGTCCTATATGTTCTCCCATTCATTTGTATTGTGGTCCTGTCATGTGATGTTGTCGTTTTGGTGTTGTGTTTGACGTTGCCATTAAAGCGGGAGGTTTGTCATGCCACAAAACCAGGTTCAACCCACCATTTTTTTCTTAAAATGTCCTGTACCAAGTCAGGAAAATGGCCATTGTTATATTATAGTTCGTTTCTGTGTGTGTTAATGTTGTGTTTTTGTTGTGTCGTTGTTCTCCTCTTATATTTGATGCGTTTCCCTCAGTTTTAGTTTGTAACCCGGATTTGTTTTTATCTCTATCGATTTATGAGTTTCGAACAGCGGTATACTACTGTTGCCTTAACTTTTTGTAAAATCCTTGAATGGTATTAAGAGAGTGTGACCTGAACAATACCCGAGATATTTATCTGCATTCAAAGGTTGAATGATTGCGTAACATCCAGCATCTATTATTTCATGCATATCATATTTACGACGAGACCATTTGAATGATTTTTATAATGTCTTCTGCAATTTTTGTTTGTTTGTATACAATATAAACTGCTTTATTGTAGGTAAAACGCTGAATAAAGTCAGAATGTTTTGTGCTAGTTCATAATGTTCACTTTGCCTATTATCGCTTTCTTCTGGTATATTTTCAATTAATCCGGAGTCGACCAGTCTTTCCTCTCAGCCCTTAATTCCATTAACGGAGGGGAAAATACCAATTTAGAGCCAGGTTTTCAGGTCCATTCCACGAATCTTTTTCTGACAAAATGATCATGGCTTTCGTGAGAGCGGTTAGACTTCAGAAAATTCAGAGTCAGTTCGAGTCAAGAGATCACCCCCAATTTTTTGTTGGGGTTCGTGTTGCTCAGTCTCTAGTTTTCTATGTTGTGTTTTGTGTACTATAGTTTGTCTGTTGGTCTTTTTCTTTTTTAGCCATGGCGTTGTCAGTTATTTTCGACTTATGAGTGTGAATGTCCCCCCCTGGTATCTTTCGCCTCTCTTTAACTTAAAAGTGAAAAAGTGAGAACCTCATGACTCCAAACGGAGTTAGACAAGGAACTTCGACATAAGAAAAGTATCTTTTATACATTCATTTCCTATCATGCTGTTCAAAACAAATAATGTTAATCTTTCAATTTTTCAAAAGTGAATTGTAAGCTTTTGAATAGCAAATGAATTATGAGCAATATTGTTCTGTAAATGAAATCAGTATATGACATTGGTTATGGATGTCTTATATTAAAACATAAGGGACAGGTTGGTATTTCACTCACAGCGGACACTCTCTATACTGATATTTAACTTACTTGAACCGTCTTTTTCTAGCATTTAATATGCGTAAGACAACAGTAGTATACCGATTTTACAATTCATTAAGCAAACTAATCAATAAAAGCCTTACGGAAATGCATGAACTCCAGATGGCAAGGCCGGATGCATCATTACTGTAAGAACCTCTCCTACCATGAAATAGACATGAAGACGTCAGAAGAATGCATTTAAACTTCTACCAAATGGAATAGAAAATATTGCGTTTATCTTAAACTGGAGGTAGTTATGCATCGGAAATTGGAATTAATGCATAGTCTTTCCCATCTTCGGTCTTAGCCAATGGATGGAATATGATTCATTCTGAAATTTATTTCCCCTTGTACAGTACAAATACGTATAGTGTGGTATTTCGCAAACATAATACTCCCGCATAGCACAGTAAATGTCCTTTAGTTGCTTCCTATATATTAGTAATCCACTGAAATAACGAGCATTGATAGAATTTGCAGTGTACTTTAATATCACGTTTGCACTCAATGTAGTGACTTTACTGTTATAGAGGTATTACACAAAACCGTCAGTGTCGTTAATGATTAACTTTGAATGAATGAGTTTTTTTTAATTTTTCGTTTTTTTAGAATCGGTCCTCATGTGTCTAAATACTTAAGTTAGTGTTGAGGCACTGGCTACTATATGAACAGTACATTTTAGAAGTAAAATATGCTGTTTATTGTTTTCAAAAACGTTTTGCTGATTTACCTTCATCAGTAATTTTGCCTACAAAGGTGGTAATAGGCAAACAAAATATTTACAAATCTTGTAGCAATCGTGAGAACAATTTTATTTTTAAAAACATTACACTTAGATTAATTAACGAATGAATACAAGCATTAATTGATTAAAAATGAACCATGAATGAACTATATTGAAATGTCTATGAAAATTATTTACAAGCATCACTGAAAATACAATCTCATTTGGTGCAGTTCAGTTGGTACCCTTTCATTTTTATTACTACTTGGTGAATGTCTTTGCTGTTGAACTGCTAGTACCCGAACGTATCATCAGTCAAGTATCTCAATACATCGGTACCGGCATGAAAATGTGGATATTATGTTGTAATGAAATTTGAACTAATAAAACTAAAGGAATCATTTAAATTTAAGGAATATATCTCCCTGGTGCAACTCTCAGATTCCATGTCCGGGATTTGGCTAGACTTTTGTTTATTTTGGGGTTATATAAACACTTCAATTTATGTATTATAATTCCGATTTACAAACATTTTGGTCACAAGCATCATTGAAAGAAATATATGTACATCTAGTGCAGTACAACTTCTGACATTTAATGTTAATGACTTAATGTAAAAAATGCATATTTACACGGTGTACATAGTAACCGTTTCTAAAGTTTATTTTATCCTGTTTTTTTTCTAAATATAGCGAATCTCCGTCGTCAAAAAAAAAAAATAATAAAGATTCTACGTTAGTGATATGTTTACATTGTTATAATTGTTCAGTCATTTATAACATTGTTCTGTCTTTTCAGGCACACAGGTTATATCCATACTATGTTTGACGATTGGATTAATAATTCAGAGACTAGCCAGTTGATGACGGGGATTATTTGTTAGTGCTACTTTTGACAGAATTTATGTTATTTAAATTTTAACTGTGATTGTTTTAAAATATTGTATATTTGAATACCATAATATCACTGTTTAATACGGTGAAACAGACTTTTATAGATGCCATATTATTTTTCAAATTTTCGTTTTGTTTTAAACTCCACTGTTAGGCTCAATTATGTAACAGGGAGACATTAAAAAATAATTAAGAAGATATTTTTTCGGCGTCCAAAGTAATGTGGTGTTTGGTAGTTATGGCGTCTTGTTTGTTTAGTTATTAAACATATTTCCATTTTTCTGTTTTTTGTTTTAATCTTTCAAAAAAAACGTTTATACATATCAAAATCGTATCTTAAATGTCAAGTTTAAAAGTTGATAAGTGAAACATGTTTCTTGGTTTAATTTGAGAATCTGCTCCAACAAACGAATAATAAATCATAAGTTTTTGCCAAAAAAAAAAATCCGACTACAATTATTTGAAAATTGTTAATAGGTGTACATTAGAGCTGTTTGATGAAACATAATGATACCAACTGAGGTCATATAAAAAGTATGCAATTCACCCGTAAAGGCAATTTGACTATTTCTGATGTTATGAATCATTTTACCACTATTCATTCATATATTTATTTTCAGATTTCATCTCCGAGAAACATAAATATGTAAAGCCATAACATTTCGGAGAATTTAATCAAGCAAAACAATTTTAGATATAAGTTATCAAAATAGTTTGTGTAAAAATAATCATTATTTTATGAGATTTGAAAGGTTTTGCAATGTGGTGTAAATTGTAAATTTGCCTACTTCTATCTTGCAGATTTTGGTATTTTAAATAGATTACTTTTACTTTCATCATTCAGTTGAAAAGATACTGTAATTTGAACATCAGTTTTTGGTTGTTTCCACGTAGAATTTTATCAAAATATGTGATGTTTGTGGGTAATATGTTAAACGGTATATATATATATGTTAAAATAAAAAGTTGATGGTCCCATATTTCTCTTGTTATTCAATCGTTTAATCTTATGTTGACCTTTATGCATCATGTACTTTTAATTTATTCTAATCTGATTTGATTGTTGAATGCGAACGTCTGTTCAAATGACAGAAGAAGATAACATTATTGACCATTCCTAAGACAAAAAAAACTTAATTAAAATTAAAAAAGGTTGGCTTCGAGTTTTGTAACAGTATTTTGTAATGAATTTAAAATGTAACTACAAAACGTTAATCATTATTATTATTATTATTATTTTATATAAGTATTATTATTGTTATTATTATTAATGTTCATGATGGAAATGATTCCCGTTGATTAATTGAGAAATCATCGTGAAACTAAGGTTCCAGCTTGCTTTGGCAGAGTTAATCTTAGATGAATTTGGCTATAGTTGTTATGTTTGTTTTGGTCATGTTTATATTTCAATGTTTCGACGTTAATATATACATCCATGGCTTCCAAATGTTTACGTGTGAGCGTTCCTGGTGAAGTTTTATCCATAAATAAGTGTCAAAAGACAGTATCAAAAGTAAAATCTTTAAAATGTATTTCTTTATTTTCCGTTTTTTACTGATAAGGCCAAGTAAATTTAATTAGTAGATTTTCATCCAAATTTTTGAAAAAAATGGGGTGGGTGGGAGGATTTTATTTTTTATTTTTTATTAGATATGAAACGCTCTTGTGACGTGTTCTTCATATATGCAAGTGTAATAATAAGGTTCTATCATGTATATACATGTATAACGAATCAAACATACAAAGAAATGCAAAAACCAAAATTTGAAACAGGATGTTATTAATGAAACGAAATTATCGACAGTTACCGGTAACGAAAATGAACAAAATCCGGAAATCGTAAATTTTTCAAAATAAAAAAAATTGGGGCGGAACGATTTCAGAGGGGCGGGCGGGGATGAAAATCTATCAATTAATTTTAATTGGCCTAAATGCACTTAGTTTTTTTCGCAGTTAACATTAAGATACAGTCGAAGGTTGTTTTTCAGACATCATGGGATTTCATGACATTTTTATGTTCATAGATACAGAATACACATCAAAACTTGTTATTAATTTTTCCATATTATATTTATAAAATGACTCGGCGGAGGGGGCGTTAAGTGTTACCCTTGTCCGTAAGTACGTCCGTCTGTCCGTACTTCCCAAAATTAGTTTCCGTTCTCTAACTTTAGTTTGCCTCAACCAAATGTTATGAAACTTACACACAATGCTTATTTCCACGATACACAGATCAACTTTGAATTTGGGTGGCATCTTTTTTACCGTTCTAGAGTTATTCCCCTTTGCAAATGGAAAAATGCTGAATTGTTCGTTTCTGTTCTCTTACTCAAGTTTGCCTCTTCCTAATGTTATGAAACTTATACACAATGCTTATTACTATAAAACACATATCATGTTCGAATTTAGGTGGCGTCACTTTTACAGTTCTTTATAGTTATGTCCCTTTATAATGTAATATGCAAGCGGGGTCATCATATGTGTCCTATGGACACATTCTTCGTTTATTTTACATTCGAGCATTGCATTTCATCGTCTTTCACTTATCAAATGGATTTACTCTTTTTTAAATGCAGGGTTTGATTTTAAAGTGTAAGAAAGCGGTTTTATAAATAATCCAGATTTTTCTATTTATGTTTAACAAAATTAATGTAAGCATCGACACTTACTTATTCAAAGGCCAATGTAAAAAGTAATGATATTCCATTTAGGTTTTATCAACAAACTTTGTCGCAGATATTGATATACATGTAGAAAAGTTAGTTTAAATTTTTCTCACAGTTATGACAATAAGATCCTAAATCACATTCCAAAGTAAACATACATATAAATGAAAATATTACAACATATTTATTTACCTGTAAAACCTTTCATTACTTTAAGACGTCATTGGTCTTCCTTTATTATGATGTATCTGGGTGTACCTTTTGTCATTCTACTGATCGAAATAAAAGGGTAGTCAATAGAACGTCAATATCAAAAATAGTGTTAACCATTCTACAAATGAAATGTGTCCCTCCAAAGTAAGGAAATTTGCCAGTACCGTTTTTGTAGCCAATAACGTTTTTTTTTATGCCTTAAAAAGCTTGACATATTGTTTAGACACTTGTCTTTGTCTACTGTATGTCGACCTTCGGATGTCTTTTGTGGTTTTTCGGATTTAAGTATATATAGGGTAGGTCGCAAGAATACTCTGAACATTATCTTTTTAAAAAAACATCACATCAAAATATTTTTTTAAGGATGATGCTCCTTGGTCTCTTCTTATGGTGTATATATGTTGTTCGATATGCCCATGTCTGTAGTGACGTTTTAAATTTCGATGAACCTAATTTATAAATAACTGTTATATCATTAAGCCAGAGATTGTGTTACCACATATTACTGAATACCTTATCTTAATTCTGTCAAAGACAAAAATAAAATGCTTCGCTGGGGCGCAGCTTGATACGACCGCAGAGGTCGAACCCTGAACAGTTGGGGCAAGTATGGACACAACATTCAAGCTTGATACAGCTCTGAATTTGGATTGTTATTAAATATTTGACACAGCATAGGTTTCTGACACAGAAAGAATGTGGTCTAAGAACTTGAATTTTTTTAATTTACCTATTATGGTCCAATGTCCAAAATCAAAATACATGGTTTGATTCAGCATATCAAAGAACCCCATATATTCAATTTTTGTTAAAATCAAACAAAGTTTAATTTTGGACCCCAACTTGGACAAACTTGAAAACTGGGCCCATAATCAAAAATCTAAACACATGTTTAGATTCAGCATATCAAAGAACCCCAAGAATTCAATTTTTGCTAAAATCAAACTAAGTTTAATTTTGGACCCTTTGGACCTTAATGTAGACCAATTTAAAAAAACAGGACTTAAAATTAAAAATCTAAATACACGGTTAGATTTGGAATATCAAAGAACCCCAATAATTCAATTTTTGATGAAATCAAACAAAGTTTAATTTTGGACCCTTTTGACCTCAATATGAACCAATTTGATAGCGGGGCCCACAAATAAAAAATCTAAATTCATGGTTAGATTCAGCATATCAAAGAACCCCATATATTCAATTTTTGTTGAAATCAAAAAAAGTTTAATTTTGGACCCCAACTTGGACCAACTTGAAAACTGGGCCCATAATCAAAAATCTAAACACATGTTTAGATTCAGCATATCAAAGAACCCCAAGAATTCAATTTTTGTTAAAATCAAACTAAGTTTAATTTTGGACCCTTTGGACCTCAATGAAGACCAATTTAAAAAACGGGACCCAAATTAAAAATCTAAAAACACGGTTAGATTTGGCATATCAAAGAACCCCAATAATTCAATTTTTGATGAAATCAAACAAAGTTTAATTTTGGACCCTTTTGACCTCAATATGAACCAATTTGATAGCGGGGCCTACAAATAAAAAATCTAAATACATGGTTAGATTCAGCATATCAAAGAACCTCATATATTCAATTTTTGTTGAAATCAAACAAAGTTTAATTTTGGACCCCAATTTGAACCAACTTGAAAACTGGGCCCATAATCAAAAATCTAAATACATGTTTAGATTCAGCATATCAAAGAACCCCATATATTCAATTTTTGTTGAAATCAAACAAAGTTTAAATACTGGACCCTATCTTGGACCAACTTGAAAATTGGGCCCATAATCAAAAATCTAAACACATGTTTAGATTAAGCAAATCAAAGAACCCCAAGAATTCAATTTTTGTCAAAATCAAACTAAGTTTAATTTTGGACCCTTTGGACCTCAATGTAGACCAATTTAAAAAACAGGACCCAAAATTAAAAACCTAAATACACGGTTAGATTTGGAATATCAAAGAACCCCAATAATTCAATTTTAGATGAAATCAAACAAAGTTTAATTTTGGACCCTTTTGACCTCAATATGAACCAATTAGATAACGGGGTCCACAAATAAAAAATCTAAATACATGGTTAGATTCAGCATATCAAAGAACCCCATATATTCAATTTTTGTTGAAATCAAACAAAGTTTAATTTTGGACCCCAATTTGGACCAACTTGATAACTGGGCCAAAAATCAAAAATCTAAATACATGTTTAGATTCAGCATATCAAAGAACCTCATATATTCAATTTTTGCTAAAATCAAACAAAGTTTAATTTTGGACCCTTTGGACATTAATGTAGACCAATTTGAAAACTGGACCCAAAATTAAAAATCTAAATACACTGTTAGATTCGGCATAACAAATAAATAAATGTGATCAAAGATTTTACAAATCTAATGCGCCATACTGTGCAATTAAAGATTACTTCTTGAAATTTTTCAATATTTGAAATTTGAAAAAAAAATAATATTTGAAGAATAATTCTTTTTAATTTCTGAAATCTGAAATGAGAAAAAATTGGCCCCCCACAATTTCTTTTTATCCCCCCCCCCTTTTTCCCCCAAAAAAATTCTTTCCCTCAAGATATGGTCATAATCTCAATTCAAATTTCCAATGGAGTTGGCAACCATAATTACCCATTTAAATTTACCATAGTGCTAACTTAATCTATTTTATAATAGAATTAATAAAAATATAGTGTCAAATCTTTCATATGGATTTTTTTGTAAAAAAAAAAGATGAAAACATTTGCAGATATTTTTACTGGTCTTCCTTTATAAATATGCATTTCTTTAAACATAATTTAAAAGCAGTGTAAGGGAAGTAACCAAAACGTTGTATTTGGATTACCTCCCTTACACTGTTTTAGATTATCTTTATTGTTCATTAACCATTACTTTATACATAATTTAAAAGCAGTGTAAGGGAGATAATTTCAATGATGTATTTGATTTATCTCCCTTACACTGCTTTAAATTATGTTTTGTACTAAAGTATTTGTCCATTAACCAGGACAACCTTGTTTTCCCCCCTTTTTTGCCCCTAATCCCTAAACGGTTTGAGCCATAACCCCCCAAAGCAAATCCTAACCATCCCTTTGTGGTATGGAAACTTGTAGTATAATTTCAGAGAGATCCATACACCGTTCCACAGTTATTGTCTGGAAACTAGAAAATGCTCATTTTGGCCCCTAATTCCTTAACTGTTGGTACCATAACCCCCAAAATCAATCCCAACCTTCCTTTTGTGGTATTTAACCTTATGGTCAAATTTCAAAAAGATCCATGTACTTAAACTAAAGTTAGAGTGCGAAAACCAATATGTATTCGGACGACGACGCCGGACGACGACGCCGGACGACGACGACGACGACGACGACGACGCCGACGACGACGACGACGCCAACGTCATACCAATATACGACCACAAAATTTTTTTGCGGTCGTATAAAAATGGCCGACGACGACGACGACGACGACGCCAACGTCATACCAATATACGACCACAAAATTTTTTTGCGGTCGTATAAAAATGGTTTGGAAGTTTGACTGTACCTCTGTAGAAAAATTATTACAATTGGGAAATCACAGCCTCTCTTTGACGGTGATGATATTTATAGAGCCCGTGAATTTAAATACGATCAATGTAATTTATTGATCCCTTGATTAAATTTATTTTCAAAGTTTATCAAATTAACAATTTATCCGATACCGATAGTATATGTCGCATGTAGTTTCCGGTTGTTACCTGTTACCTTCTGCAAATCCCTCGTCTATCAGATGAACCCTGAATTCTTCCAGTAGTTGTTTTATTTCCATGTAATATAGTAATTTATTTAACAAGTCTGTTTTCTTCCACCTCAATACCACTATTAATGTTGGTTAATTAATTAAAAATCAAAATAACAGGACGAGTTCAAACAGACAGATTTTGAGAGCAGAGAAAACTCTGCACCTTATAATCAACAGGACTCTATCAGATGACAATACGAATACTAAAAATCCAGGCTAAATATAAGGTATGGGTTCTTTAATTCAGTCACGGATCCGCGATGTCGCGGATGTGTTCTAGTAATAACCTAAAATGTTGAAGAGCTATATGATAAAAAAGGACCTAAAAAAATAGCCAAATTTATCCAAGATCAACTTTTCCTGAGGGAGTTGAAACCTTAGTTTCTTTTAATTTCAAAATTTATCAATTTTAGAAAGGTATGTTATAAATCATGTCAGTACGCAAAGACATAATTTTTGACAAGGTCAGTTTAAGGGGAACCACTACTGGTAGGCCAATGATTCTCGGAATGCAGTTGTATTACCATTGGTACATATCATTTCCAGCGAGATTATTGTACAACGCCCTACAAAAAGCCCTAGAAAATCCAAAAACTAATACAAAATTTTGGAGAACTGACAAAACCAAAACGGGCCAAAAGTAAAGCCGACACATCCGGACAAGAATCGCAGCTATGCATGAAAATTCCAAATAATTATAAACAGCAAATTGCAAAAAATAAAACAATATCAGTATGTCAATGCCAGTACCAAAGTACTGGCTTCTAGACTGATGATACACTAGGTGACTTATAACTTGCAGAGGTATTGATCAAATGGCAGTAATAAAATTAACGGTTCCATATGCGCATTTCGACAATTGATGTCTCTTTCAGTGATGAACGAGGACTAAGTAATTGAAAATCCAAAAGCCAATACAATGCAGTGAACAGCTGGCAAAAACCAAAACGAAATATTTAACTTGAAATTATTAAGCGGAATATAATGAAAGGAATACGAGTTTAAGTCCTAGATTTATAGCATATTCCTATCTATAAATTTGCTAACATCTTTCATAATTTGGCAATTCAATTTTGGAATCTTTGAATATTAGTTTCAATAAAGTATTCAAACATGGGGTTCCAAGATGACGATTGAAACATACTCTTCAAAGAAACCAGGTTTAAAACTTTGTACGCCAGACTTTCATCTACATAAGACTCACTAGAAGCGCTTGAATCAACACTAACTAACTTATTTACTACCTTATGTCTGTTTGTTTTGTTCACACATTGCTGTCAATATAATGGAATTCTATGTGACTGTCATACAAGTGAGAGGATTAGCTAGCTATAAAACAATGTTTAATCCACCATTTTCTACATAAGGAAATGCCTGTACCAAGTCAGGAATATGAGAGTTGTTTTCCATTCGTTTGATGTGTTTGAGCTTTTGATTTTGCCATTTGGTAAGGGACTTTCCGTTTTGAATTTTCCTTGGAGTTCCGTATTTTTGTTATTTTACTTTTTAATGTTACTTAGTGTTGTTGTATCCAGTACAGTATACTCTTCACAAGACTCTAACTTAATGCAATTTTCACTTTACAGATTCTGGTTACTAGTAATTCCGCTCGATATAATGAATAATATGCGTCTTGAAAATGAAAGCATTCATTGACAGGGACTTTGTCACATTGTTTGCTAGTCTATTTTAATTTTTTTTCGCTATTTTTACCTTCCTTTCTGATGTTTAATTATTTACTGATAGTCTTTGGTGTTGTCATGTTCGGAAATGTTTAGTGCATTCAAGTATATTGGTCCAACTATGTAGTAATTTTCAATTTTCATTATGGGTCTTTTGTGGAGTTCTTTGTCGTATGCTTTCATGAAATTTGAATACCGGTATTTGCAGTCTACCTTACATCTTTTGTTAAAAATAAAGGCTTCTGTCCATTTATCTATTTCCTTTTGTATTTGCAGAGCAATACATCCCCCTAAATTAAACCATACAGTTTGTTGCAAATAATTTTTTTAGCTTCATATGCGTAATTGTGTCTTCTCTTATGATTTTATGGTAATTTTTGTAAATAGTTCATTACAATATCTGTTTAAATTCAAGTCTCCTAATTTATCCTGGGTGAATATTGCCATTGGTTCAGGGATCACGTCTTATGGCTCTTTTGTTAAAATGATGGCAAAGCCTTGTTTATCATCATCATTTTTTTTGTGATTTTACATCTCCAGTGTCAAAATGTATGTCACCAAAATATTTTTAGATTCTGTGTAACTCCATATTGCTTTTGAGTTTTTTTCCCTATTTTCATATAATCCTTTTTCATTTTTTTTATTTTAAGTTCATTTACTGATAGTTTTGGCTTATGTCTTACTCTTGACAAATTTTTAATTGGCTGCTCACTATCTTTTTGAGCATCACTTTTTTTTTATCAGTTCTCTTTTTTTCTTACTTGAAAATGTTTTACTTTTTTCCAATTTGTGTCTTGATTTTTATAGGTACATTTTTGTGTTCAAGATCCATTAGGATGGTTATAGAATACGTCCAGTTTATAGCTACAATGTATATTGTTTTCAACACTAAATTTGGAACATTAGTGTATAATGTTTCTTTCTCAATTAAAATCCCGGTAATATCTGTGGTAATACATATTTGCAATTGTTGGTCAGCTTTTAATATTTACAGAAAAATTGCCCTCAGCATTTTTGAGTTATAGTCAGAAAACTGTAAAATCACCCGTTTTTATAAATAAAATCCCATAGCTCTAAAACGTAAAATTTAAAATTTAGAAACATGGAAATGGAGCCTTCCTCAATACATATAAACAATTCACCAAAGTTTCATGACAATTGGTGAAAGAATTTTTGAATTGTTTTAGATGAATGGTCGATGCTTTACTATATACATGTACTAGAATTTTAATATAAGGGAAAATGATGAGATAAGTCCTGAAATATTTTTTTTAGCAAGTCAATTTTTTTAACAGTAGCTATTTAAAATCAGAATTATTGTACTATATATGAACATGTATCTCAAACATTTGTACTTCTCTATGCTGGATATTTAATTTCTAAGTCTAACAGAAACATAATTGTTTAATCCATCATTATTTCCATATTCATATGCTTACAAATGAACACAATTTATTACATCAAGTTTATTTCAAAATTTCTTTCATAACAATGAACAGAAAGAAATAACACAATTGGACATGGACATAGCAACCTATTGATTCTTTATGCGATTGATAAAATACATACATGCTAATGCAGTGAAGTAAAATTGTCAGAAATGTAATACCTAACAGTACATCTGAATGATGAAAAGGATTCAATGCTGATTAAGGAAATGTACATTAAATATTATTATTTAAATGTTATGTGTTTTTTATATTTTTTAAAAATAGTAATTTTTGCAATAATTTTTATCAAATATGATTTCATGAGTTAAGATCAGCACTCTCATACTAATCTGTTAAAAATTTTCTTTACAGCCAGAATCTTTGCTTTTGCCGATTTAAGAATGAATTGCATATTCAAACAGTCGTAATTATCATTTCTAAGAGCCATATCAATATATAATTTAAGTAGAACATACAACTTTGGGACACTTAATCAATTTCTTCCCAGTTGTTAAATCCAAGCCAGGTGAATCATACTCATTGATAAAAAACACTCTACTTTCTATTTATTCCTTCTTGTCGATAAGAATGAAAATATTATGACTGTTGTATTCCAGTTCAAAAAGAGATCTAGAAAAACAATGCAAATTCATTTACATAATACATGAATCAAGTCTCTTAATGTCAAAGAATAATTCACATTCAGATATGTAACAGAAGACAAAAACATATAAGGAAAATAGAAATGTTTTTGTAATTCTGGAAAACAAAAACTTCTTGACGAACTAAAATTATCATGAACTCATCAAAAATGTTTTTGGATGGAAATATATACATTTGATAATTAAAATGTAGATAAATTAAGCTGAAAAATCAATTTAATTTGTTAAAATTTCATAGGTGTCAACATTTCAAACCTCCAAAGAGGGAGATCTTCCTCTGAGGGAAATTTTACATCGAACCTACTTCACATTGTTATCTTAATATTATTTTCACTACTTTGTGTTAATGAATGAATTAGCTAAACATATATGATTTATAAATTTGAATACTGTGTATTATATTAACAAACAATGCTTTGATTATAACTTCTCAATCTTTAATAGACAAACAACAAATTACAGTGAATAAATGGTGATAGTGTGAAATAGGATTTTTTCTCTCTCTCTCCAAAATTGGAGATTTGACTTCCTGTTTAAGGACTGATCTCCAGAGGAGATTGCAAATTAAAAACAAAAATTAGGAGTCATCCATTGATATTTGGAATGTTGACACCTGTGTTATAGGACAAGGGATACTATCAAAATTGAATATTTTATCCATGTTTTGTTGGCGATGTCTATTTTACTACTTATAGGGTGGTGGCCTTGTAGTGATACAGCTGATTTCAAATCATAGTTCCCTCTGATAATACCAACTCTTTATAACCTTTTCCATTCTCTCAAGTGAATTACAGTCAAATAAATTTCACCATTCATCACATATTACATATTGTAACTATTATTGCAAAGTAGTTTAAAACTATCTGTACTTGGTCAGCCTGATAAATCTTTGGCTTCAAATAAGTCCTGATCATATTTCTCAGCTGTCACTATTCTTCCACCAAAATATCGACCATTTAAAGATGAACATCCTCTTTCTACTTCTACAATAGAAAACACATCATAATGTTATATTTTTGAAGACAACAGTCACTGCAATTTAATAAAGATTTAGAGAATAGTATAATATTTCCTTTCAGGAATCCTCTGGTATATCCAACACTTGAAGGAAGGTCAGTTATACTAACAAGACTCCAAAGATGTAGTCTGCCCGCCCAGTAACTCAAATTTTTAAAACAAATTACAATAAGAATGTAGGCATTGTCAAGCTAAGCATATACCCCCAATCATAATTCATATGATCAGAGACAGAAAGTTAGTGTCTGACAAATCAGAAAAAACAGACAAAAGGCATTATAGTGCTGTTTATCTATGTAAGCTCAATTATGGAAGTCGTGAAATCAAATTTTTACTTGTGAATGGCCGATTGTGTCTGAGTATTTTATCATTCAGGCATTTTCTACAGATATTGTTTGAATTATGAGCTCTATATTGCATTGCAGTGTAAACTAGTAGTGAAATTCCAACAAAAAAGACCAATGTCACATAGTTTCATATTACAGTCACATTTTGAGCTTTAAATTCTGCTTATATTGCTTGCAAAGGGACTAAAAATGAAACCCATTTATTATATTGATTATGGAAAAAGAAAAATGCAAAACCAAAATTTTTTAAACACGTTTATTTCATTCCAGGAAAGATGTTGGTATATTTCTTTCTACTATGAATACAGACTCTAATGTATAATTGGAAACTTACCTATTTGTTTTGTAAACTCCACAAATATTTTGACAATAACTTCAGCATCCTCTTCCTCTCCTTGCTTTTCCTGGTAAATAATAACACGGTTGACGTTACCAAACTTCCCACATTCTTCTGTAACCTCACTCTCAAGTTCATCATCTAAATCTTCTGGACCAACCATATTCCTTAATACCATCACATGATACTGCTGAAAGAAAATCAGATATAAAGACTGTGAAGTATGGGAGAAGAAAGGTTAATATAGTTGAACCTTGTTGTGTCCTCAAATAAGTCTGAGATATTCTGTCAGTCTCGCTAAAATTCCCTGTTGGTTCAATCCATTTCTAACTCTGATGAGTCGAACTCAATGAATTAGAAGTCCACTTGTCCAGTAGGACAAGTACAACCCAAAACTTACTTGTCCGAATGAAATTGTAACTTGTCCAAAACAAATCTTAATAATAACCTTTTTTGCCTTATGAGTTGATTCAAGGAACAAAATGAATTAAAACAATAGAACAGAATTTGATTTATATCTTTTGAAATACTTTTCAAAAATATGAGTCGAGAACAACTGAATCTAGTCATGTCACAGGGCTTAGGTTCTAGTTTTCATCAATGCCAAAGTCTCATCAGACTCTGCACATGAGGCACCGTCTGATAGGCCTGTCAATGTACACTCATTGGATTTGTATCCTGGTTGTTTAAGTTGAAAAAAGATTATTCAAATGCAATCAATAAAAAAAAGAAGATGATGTATGATTGCCAATGAGACAACTCTCTGCAAGAGACCAAATGACACAGAAATTAACAACTATAGGTCACCGTATTGCAAGTATTGTTTCTTTCTACATATGATCAAATATGATTTTGTGAATTTTATGGTAAATTTCTTCATTTTTATTTAAAAAATATTTTTGTATACCGGTATGGTATTTATTATAAAGCAACAGAATAAGATGGGAAACCAGGTACTGATTTGTCTTGGACCCGAATTGTCTCCTGCCTTGCCGAACTGTCTATTAATCATATCTATTAAATATGTCTACTACGGTGCCAAACTGTCTATTAAACTTAGGAGCCGAATCGTTTCCGAGCTGGTGAAGAACTGTCTTGTAAAGTTACCTTTTCTACAAAGCGCATCGCTGATTCGGATCAGTAAAACTGGTTTCCGAGAATAGTATGCCTTTTACCTATTAAAAAGTACCTGACAAAGAACCAGTTTAAAATTATCGGTTTGCAAGTAAACATGTCAAATTAATACTTGTTTTTATCTTCTTTTCTTGTTTTTTGTTTATAATTACTTAAGTTGGATTAACTTTATTTTCTGCAGAATAATTTTACTTGTCCCGTCGGACAAGCTTGATATAGCTTTTACTTGTCCGACCTTTTTTTCCTCTGGTACCGGAAAATCGGACAAGCGTTATGTCGAGGCCTGCTGATGAGTCGAACTCAATGAATTAGAAGTCCACTTGAAGACAAATGAATATAAAATAACCCCAGTAAAGTTAGAGAACTGAAATAACAAGTAAATTTGAAAGGAAAAGAAAACAGTTATGTAAATAGAATACTGATTCAAATATTCTAAATTATATATTTTTATTGTGCATCAAAATAAGTTTCCATTATTAATTCTAAGTAAATCATTTTATTTGTATAACAATCAGAATGGCATGTTAAATTGTTTGACCATGCTGAAAAATCATGTTTGTGATACACTTTTTGCCAGAGATAATTATGAAATGATTTAATGGATTCAAATCTTTAAAACTTAACACTGACAAATGAACCATGGAAATATTAAGGTAAAGGTTATATCAATTCTGTAAGATGGAAATGCACAACTTTACTTACAATCCTACTTTGCATAAAATACATTTGATTGATTTCTATTATTATTGTTTTTAATTTTGTATCTAAGACAAGAGTGCACACGCTGAAATGTCCCGCCTTCTTTACACCTTACAATCATTCTATACACCAAATATAGTAGACCTATTGCATACAGTATAAGAAAAACAGACCAAAACACAAAAACTTAACTATAACCACTGAACCATGAAATGAGGTCAAGGTCAGATGACACCTGCCAGTTGGACATGTACACCTTACAGTCCTTCTATACACCGAATATACTAGACCTATTGCTTATAGTATCTGAGATATGGACATGACCACCAAGACTTAACCTTGTTCACTGATCCATGAAATGAGGTCGAGGTCAAGTGAAAACTGTCTGACGGGCATGAGGACCTTGCATGGTACGCACATACCAAATATAGTTATCCTTTTACTTATAAGAGAGAATTTAACATTACAAAAAAATCTTAACTTTTTTTTCAAGTAGTCACTGAACCATGAAAATGAGGTCAAGGACATTGGACATGTGACTGACAGAAAATTTGTAACATGAGGCATCCATATACAAAGTATGAAGCATCCAGATCTTCCACCTTCTAAAATATAAAGCTTTTAAGAAGTAAGCTAACGCTGCAACCACGGCCGGATCACTATCCCTATGTCGAGCTTTCTGCGACAAAAGTCGCAGGCTCGACAAAAATTATCAAATTTTGAACATTAAACATTAACCAGTAAACCATGCAATTCAGATTAAGGTAATCAAAATGTTACAAGAATCTTGGTAAGCTGGAACCATAGAAAGAGATGAATAATCAATGGTTATCTAATATACTCATTAACCGTACGTACATCAGATTTTCTCATAAGTTTCTGCATGACCATATGTCGGGCATTTGTTCCACTAATTTTCATGCTTTCTTGTTGTTCTAATGTTTGCGACTGGTCGTCGTCAGCTGCTTTCTTTTTATCCTCTTTCTCTTTTTCTTCTGCTTTCTTTTTATCTTGTGTAACCATTGGTGGTAGTGGTATATGTGATGGCATTGTGGAGAGTGCTGCTACTGATACTACCGGTCCACCAACTTTATAAATATATATGGAGACATATTATTATGACTTAACATTGGAAGTCAACATGTATACAAATAAATGGGGAATGTGTCCATGGGACACAGATGATGCCCCAACTTACATATCATATAAAGTTATAACAGGACATAACTGAAGAACAGTAAAAGTGACGCTACCCAAATTTCTTGTTGATCTAAGTTTTGTAGTAATAAGTATTGTGTATAAGTTTCATAACATTTGGTCGAGGCAAACTTAAGTTGGAGAACGGAAACAAAAAATTCAGCAATTTTTCCATTTGAAAAGGGGCATAACTCTAGAACAGTAAAAGTGACACCACAAAAAATCAAACTCGATCTGTATTTTGTGGTAATAAGCATTGTGTATAAGTTTTATAACATTTGGTTGAGGCAAACTAAAGTTAGAGAATGGAAATGAAAAATTCAGCAATTTTTTTCATTAGTAAAGGGGCATAACTCTAGAACGGTTAAAGTGACGCCACCGAAATTCAAACTTGATCTGTGTTTTGTGGTAATAAGCATTGTGTTTAAGTTTCATAAAATTTGGTTGAGGCTTACCTAAGTTAGAGAACGGAAATGAAGAATTCAGCAATTTTTCCATTTGTAAAGTAGATTTTTATATTTCAAGAGCTTGTTAGTGCAATATATTATCTACCACTAATCATGCAATAACCCTTTTGTTTTATAGCAAAGCTATATATTATATATGTATATATTTAAAAACTAATTTGAAGCTTTATATGCACTAGTGCAAATTGATATTATTACAAGGTAACTTTTAGTTACATTCTAGAATAACATATGTTGTAAGCTATTAAACAATCCCTTATATTCCTTAATTAACATGATTAACATGTTTTCTCAAAATACTATTTCTAGCAGATATAATTTTCATAATATTTCCATGTTATTTAATAGACACAACAACTCTGGGCATATAAAACAAATTTCCTACGTGATATTCCTTGTGATACTATTGGTGGTGGTACCACTGCTCCCAAGGCAGGAGTAACTACTCCTACAGGTGGTACATGGGTTGGAGAATCACTCAAACCAAGTCCTGATGGTTCTGCTATTCCTGGTGGTGCCTATAATAAAAATATATTTATAGCTTAAGACCTATTGTCATATGTGCTTTGGCTACTGACTTTTCTTCTAAAAAGATTAACTGCATACTTGTTTGTAAATCCAAAGAAAATCTATTTAAACAAATGCAGCCAAGAATCAGTATTACCCCAAGTAATCTATTTTCCTTTTCAATGTTTTCTTTGCTTAGGTATTAATTTTCTTTTTCAATATATGATGGTATTTAGATTATAACACCTGTATTTTAATCAAATTCATAGGTAATTGTTCATTAGCTCAGGGCTATTGCAGGGGAAAATGCAGGGGTAACACTTTTTTATAACCAACCATCCATATTTTTTATTTTCATTTGTGACAGAATTGTATGTTTTCACCACTATCACCCCAAGAAAAATGTGGTGTCCAACCCTTGGATACATTTTTTCCTAGAATAGCTCTCAGCACTTATTGGGCATTCTATCTAATTCAGAGATTTATATTTGAATACCTTATACAAAACACTTACAAAGCCTGTCATCTGTTGCACTAAAATCTAGTTTTAAGCTACTTACAAAGCCTGATATCTGTTGTTGGACATCCATAGCAGTAATTTTAGCTGTGACAGCAGCAGCAGCCACTGCAGCTGCCGTTGGTAATGTGCTGGGTCCTGCTGTAGGTTGTAATGCATCTGGTGGTGTTATGGCCTGAAAATTAAATACTAAATGTTAACAATAACTTATCATATACTTAGCATTAATATGACAGATTTTGCAAATGTGTAACAAGCGGAGGTAAACTAGCCATAAATGCACACCTAGGCTGATAACCAATATCAGCCTGATGCGACGTCACTGATATGGGGTTGCATTCCTACATAGGTAGTATATGATAAAAAGATTAATACATGTCTTTTTCCATATCCGCACGGGTATCATCCCTAGACACATATCAGACCTCGACTAATGTCTCAAGCTGATATGGGGGTCTCGGTATGATACTAGGGCTGATATGGAAAAGGGTATGTATTAATCTGTATATGAAGCTTTTCAATTCCTTGATATTGGTCATTGTCAGAATTTAAAACTACACAATATGCGAGGATTTGAACATATTTTTGTAACATTCATGCACACCATTTAGAATAGATACTATGTAAAATTGAATCATGAAAATATACTGTAAGCACTGTAGTTATTTCTGCTGATTTCACAATCATGAAAATGCTTGCAATTATCCAGTGCAAAATTTTTGTACAGATCAACAATATTGATATGAAGGCTACTTTCCATTCCATGCGTCAGTTTAACCCCTGACAGAAAGGTTTTTGCATTGAAACCAAGGAAATGCAAACAGTTTTATGAATGGATAATTATGTATTAAAAGGTTAGCCAAATTCTATTATTAAAGAAAGGTGGGTGTTTTCAATCATGTAAAAAATTCTTACATTTCAAGATAAGTGTTATGTGCTATGTACAAAAATTCCCTATCAAATCAAAATCTTTGTGGTTAATTAGCAGATGGCATATAAATTTGCATAGTAGAAGAATAATAATTTCAGTCTTGGAACTATTAAAGGAGAAATTCCTTCAATTATTCTTTTTAAACATAAAAGTTATTATTCTGACAAATCAGAAATAAAAGCAAAGAATGTGTCTCAGAGAAACATAAATGTGTTTGTATGTTATAAATGAATGTACTTTTATTCCTACAGTACCATCTTAGTTGATTCAGTGATCAATCAAAACTATGAACTTCCATATTCCACTAAATGCATTTTTTTTTGCAACATCAAATTTTAAAATCAATGAATAAACATGATACAATTAATTTTAAACAAACACAAAAAATCAAGACTAAAAATAGATTTCACAATAAAATTTTGTTCCATATGTTTGAGAATTTCAAACTGTTTTTACATATAACAAATGTTTCCAGAAAAAGACATTTCATTAAAACTTACCTTGCCAACTCTTAAATACTGTCCACCAAGATCAAACAAATTCATGGAAGCTACTGCATCTTGTGCTGCCTGGGACGAATCATATTCAATAAAACCATATTCTCTGAAAATATCAAACATTCTTACTTCTATGAGTACATTTTTGTGATAAAAACTTTGTGTTGTCAGTTAATCACAAGTTTGAATGTGTGTTTCATCTGACATCTATTTCATTTAGATTATTGCAAAATGTTTTCAACTAATTTTTTTGAGTATCCCCATTCTAAGCCTTACAAAATAAACTGTTAACACAGAGATATGTCTCGCCTATTTGTTATTTTGATTATGCAAATGTTGAAATTAAAAAAGCAATACTTTAGCATGTAAGTTATGCAAATATTCAAAGTCAATGAACCATGACTGAAGGTACAGGGCTAAACAATCTCCATGGAAATGAGATGTGCCAATGCTAATACAACTGCAAATCAAATACCATTGACTTTTCATAAGTCGTTCCCTTTAAACAAACCTAAACACAAACATTAACTTGTAAACTATGTAAAAGTTTCAAAGTCAATGAACCATAATTAGGGGGTGGGGTTATATAATCTCCATGGAAATGAAACTTGCAAATGCCAAAACATTTGCACACCGAATATCATTGACTTAACATTAGTGGTTCATCTTGAACTGACCTAATCACAAACCAATACATGTAAACTAAGCAAAAGTTTCAAAGTCAATAGACCATGACTGAGGGGTAAGGACCAAATATTCTCAATGGAAATGAGATGTGCTAATGCTTATACAACTGCATACCAGTTATCATTGACCTACCACTAACAGTTACCCTTAAACTGACCTAATCACAAACTAATACATGAAAACTAAGCAAAAGTTTCAAAATCAATAGACCATGAATGAGGGGGCAGGGCCAAATAATCTCCATGGAAATGAAATATGCCAATGCTTATACAACTGCATACCAAATATCATTGACCTACCACTAGTGGTTCCCCATAAACTGACCTAATCACAAACTAATACATGTAAACTAAGCAAAGTTTCAAAGTCAATAGACCTTGACTGAGGGGGCGGGGCCAAATAATCTCCATGGTAATGAGATGTGCCAATGCTAATACAACTGCATACCAAATATCATTGACCTACCACTAGTGGTTCTCCATGAACTAGACCTAATCACAAACTAATACATTGTTGACGCCGCTGCAGTCGCCGCAGCCGCCAGAAACAGCATACCTATGTCTCGCTTTTTGACTCCGTCAAGGCAAGACAAAAATTACTTTAAACAAGCATTCTGTGAGTATTGCATGGCAATACATAGTCCCCTACCGGTTACAAATTCATTGGAACGAAATTCTAACTTGATCTATAACTTGTCATGGTGTAAACTACATAAAAATATCAAGTCAAAATCTTCAAGCATGATGAAAATAAAATGCTCCGCAGGGCGCAGCTTGATACGACCGCAGAGGTCGAACCCTGAACAGTTGGGGCAAGTATGGACACAACATTCAAGCTTGATACAGCTCTGAATTTGGATTGTGATTAAATATTTGATAGAGCATAGGTTTCTGACACAGAATGAATGTGGTCTAAGAACTTAAAAATTTTAAATTGGACATTCACCTATTATGGTCCAATATCCAAAATCAAATACATGGTTAGATTCAGCATATCAAAGAACCCTAAGAATTCAATTTTTGATGAAATCAAACAAAGTTTAATTTTGGACCCCGATTTGGACCAACTTGAAAACTGGGCCCATAATCAAAAATCTAAATACATGTTTAGATTCAGCATATCAAAGAACCCTAAAAATTCAATTTTTGTTAAAATCAAACTAAGTTTAATTTTGGACCCTTTGGACCTTAATGTAGACCAATTTGAAAACGGAACCAAAAATTAAGAATCTAAATACACGGTTAGATTCGGCATATCAAAGAACCCCAATAATTCAATTTTTGATGAAATCAAACAAAGTTAAATTTTGGACCCTTTTGACCTCAATGTGGACAAAGTTGATAACGGGGCCCAAAAATCAAAAATCTAAATACATGGTTAGATTCAGCATATCAAAGAACCCCATATATTCAATTTTTGTTGAAATCAAACAAAGTTTAATTTTGGACCCCGATTTGGACCAACTTGAAAACTGGGCCCATAATCAAAAATCTAAATACATGGTTAGATTCAGCATATCAAAGAACCCTAAAAATTCAATTTTTGTTAAAATCAAACTAAGTTTAATTTTGGACCCTTTGGACCTTAATGTAGACCAATTTGAAAACGGAACCAAAAATTAAGAATCTAAATACACGGTTAGATTCAGCATATCAAAGAACCCCAATAATTCAATTTTTGATGAAATCAAACAAAGTTAAATTTTGGACCCTTTGGACCTCAATGTGGACCAATTTAAAAACGGGGCCCAAAATCCAAAAACTTAATACGCGGTTAGATTCAGCATATTAAAGAACCCCAAGAATTCAAGAATAAAACCCCATTGAAATTGATCAAGAAATAAGCAATTTATAGGAAGTATCTTCTTTTGCACAATACTGTGCAATTGAATATTTCTTGCTATTGCGCAATACTGTACAATTGACAATTTCTTGCTATTGCGCAATATTGTGCTATTGGATATTTCTTGCTATTGCGCAATACTGTGCAATTGAAGATTTCTTGCTATTGCGCAATACTGTGCAATTGAAGATTTCTTGCTATTGTGCAATACTGTGCAATTGAAAATTTCTTGCTATTGCACAATACTTATTAGATAATAATTTACACATCCTGTTTGGTGTGTATCTCCTACCATATCATTATTATTTGCTTTTAAATATTAAACAGAAATAACCAACTTAAAATGGAAAATTTTAAAAGAAAAAAAAAAAATCCCCCCCCAAATTTTTTGAACCCCCTTATGATTCATCACCCCCAAACTCAATCCCAGCCTTCCCTTTGTGGTATGGTACCTTGCAGTACAATTTCAGAGAGATCCATACACTTGAACACAAGTTATTGTCTGGAAACTAGAAAAATGCTTATTTTTGGCCCCTTTTTGGCCCCCAATTCCTAAACGTTTCGGGCAATTACCCCCAAACTCAATTCCAGCTTTCCCTTTGTGATATGGAACCTTGTAGTACAATTTCAGAAATATCCAAACACTTACACACAAGTTATTGTCATGAAACTAGAAAAATGCTTGTTTTTTGCCCCTTTTTTGGCCCCTAATTCCTAAAATTTTGAGGCAATTACCCCCAAAATCAATTACAGCCTTTCCTTTGTGATATGGAACCTTGTGGTACAATGTCAGAGAGATCCATACACTTACACACAAGTTATTGTCTGGAAGTTACAAAAATGCTTATTTTTGGCCCCTTTTTGGCCCCTAATTCCTTAACTGTTGGTACCATAACCCCCAAAATCAATCCCAACCTTCCTTTCGTGGTATTGAACCTTATGGTAAAATTTCATGGAGATCCATTCACTTAAACTAAAGTTAGAGTGCGAAAACCAATGTGTCTTCGGACGACGCCGGACGACGCCAGACGACGACGACGACGACGACGCCGGACGACGACGACGCCAACGTCATACCAATATACGACCAAAAATTTTTAAATTTTTGCGGTCGTATAAAAACTGTTGAAAACTGATTACTTAAGTGAACTTTCTATGTCCAAAGACCGTAAATATGCATGAGTCAATGTACTTATTATTGACATTTTCTTTTCTTTTAAAGTTAATGACATATATTTCCTCATGTTGTCATTAGAAATTGCTTGCAGGTTTGAGTGCTCTCATTGTTCAATAACATTTGGTTGAGGCAAACTAAAAGTTAGAGAACGGAAACGACAGATTTAGCAATTTTTTCCATTTATAAAGGACATAACTCGACTGTAAAAGTGAAACCACCCAATTTCAAACTTATATCTGTGTTTTGTGGTAATAAGCATTGTGTATAAGTTTTATAACATTTTGTTGAGGCAAACTAAAGTTAGAGAACGGTAACTGCTACAGCGGGGGCATAATAAAAATTGTAAACAGACATTGTTTTATATGCAGAATTTTAATGTTCAACCATACTTTGTTAGAGCTCAAATATTCCAGTATTATTCCTCTTAACATAAAAAGATTATGCCCCAATAGCATTAAATAGTAACAGTACATACTTGTGTTTTCCTGGCTTGGTTGGATCTTTACATATTTCACAAGTTAAAATGTTTCCAAATGCTTCAAACACACTGAAATAAAATAATAAAGAATTTAACTAAGATTTATTTATCAGGTCAATTATTAATAGATCTTTAAAAAGATCTTTCAAGGACTATCTACCTGGCTGAAATAAAATAGTTGCATCTTTAGGTCAAATATTAAAGTAACATGTCAGACCTGACATAAGATTAGGGGAGACATAGAATAATATTATTGTAAGCTCTAACTCTACAATTATATCTCAAACAGTCCTAACACATTATTATCACAGAAATATTTAATTAGAAACCGCTTCATTTTAGGAATTTAATAAAAGTCTAAAGATCAGATTGCAATGGCAAAGTCATTGTAAGGGAGATAACTATTTACAGATCTGTACGAGAAAAAAAATTGTTACAAATTATTAAAACTTTCAAATATGTTGCCTTGGAAAGAGTAACATTTACATTTTTGCTATTATAAACATTACTTATAAACAAAGATTTTTGTTAATCTGCTTACAGTTTATTTCTAACCCACAAACATTATTTCACAGTCCACTTTAAGAATAGATACTGTAGGAAACTGTTCCATAAAAAAATCAATCTCATTTGAAATGCAACTTTGAAGCTTGTTTTTAAAATCTTCCTTTAAATACAGTCTCTAGTTCATACCTTTTGATATCATCTTCCGTTAAGTCTTGATGTATTGATGCTATGTAAATTCTGTTATAGTTTTTGGCTTCTTCTGCTAGCTGTTCAATAATGGGCTGTGCCTGAGGCATATTACTTGGTCTTCCCACCTGACAAAAATTGAAAAGGCTATATGACATTCTTCTGTAAAAATTTAACACATGTGAACTGACGGTGTAGTTTGTATTGCAAGTTTCCCATTGCTTAATTTAGTAATTTAACAGGACTGTAATTTTTTCCCTTGTGATCGACCATGAAGAAAATTTTGGATATAAATTATAATATTTTTATACTGTTATACTCTAAAAAGCAGTAGAAAGTCATGAACTGTTAACAATGTTTTTTTACTCTACAGGAGTAAAAAAAAAATAAATAATAAAAAATGAATTCCCTATTTTGAAACAATTACTCAAGGAAATAAAATAATTGTGTAAAAAGATAAACAAAACTAAACAAAACAAAACAACAGAAAATAACAATTTTGAATTATCATATAAAAAAGTAGCTTTATTGAATATTCAATGATAATACAATGCCATAGGACAATTTTCAGTCTCGTATTGTTTAACTTTATCTGTAGAATTTGAATTTCATATCCATATATTATATAGACACGTTTATAGTGCAAAATAGCAGTGTTCTCCTCAGGCCCTTAAAGGACCGCGGGCCCGCGATGTATAATTTTTTACCGTGGTTGTATCGTTCTTACCGCGATGTATAATTTTTCTCCGTGGTGCTAAAATTTTCAGTTAAAAAATCGTAAATCGGTAAAGTTTTAAACGACTTGTTAAATCTTTTCCGTGCGGTATAAAATTCCAGGTGAAATTTGGCCAGTTCAAACCAGTTCAACACAGATTGTTTACACCACGTGATCGATTTACCTTATGAAGTTAACCTTGTTGATTGGATTTAATCGATGTAATTAACACTTGTAACATGATTCTTTTGTGTTTTAATTAAGAGTTCATAACTTTATGATCACAGATAACTATTTTATGGCTTCACTCTCCACCCAAGCACTGACCTGTGACAAGTCGGCAAATACTTTGTACACAAACAGTGTCTTGACCCGATAGGTACATTTTTTGTACATCATAATGGTGGCTCATTACGTATAATGGACAACTATACATTTCCCAATTCTTATATTATATGTCTCTGATTAAACCATGGCCAATATTATCTTTAATTATGACATAGTTATTGCATGATAGTCGGGTTTCAAACTGTAGTAGCTGTCTGTACATATCACATGACCCAGTTAGTTCACGTAGAATATTCAAGTGTATTTACAATTAATTGCAATCTATTATATTTTATAAATAAAATGCATGACTGTACCTTCAAACTGGATATCTATATCCATAATTAATGAATAACAGAAGTAATCTTACAATTTTATCCATAAGCACATGTTAAATCTATTTATATCTACTTCCTGTCATTTAGGTGGGAAAATAGGGAGACTTAGTTGTTGACATTTAATATGGTTACTTATAGATCTATAGACCAAAGATAAATTTATAGATTTAGGAATTCTTTTTAAATGGTTCATGACAAATAAAGATTAAGATTTTAGGGCAGTATAAAGTCTGTATCTATGTTTGATTATCACCAAAGACAAGAAAGTTTAATATTTACATGAATTCTAAGGCAAAATGTTTTAAAATTTATGAAAAATTTCTTTTCATCAAAATCTAAGATAGAAACTGGTTCAAATAATAAAACAATATTTGCAATTGTTCTTGTTAATTTTATGTCTTCTTATGACAGGAATCCTTTCACATACAACAACTTTTTTCTAGAAACTAGAAAGTTTTTTAAATTGAGCATTTTTGTTCTCTTTTGAATGATATTTTATTTTTATTGATTTTGGATTTTACAAAAGATTTAATTACTTTAAATTCAGATGAATATTTTATTATGAATCATAATTTATTTATTTAAAAAAAAATATTAAAGTATACAAACTGTTTTTTGATTTACTTCTTTTTTACCAATAATTTTCTGAATCAATGTCAACATAACACAGTACCACAGTGTTAAAACAAAACAAGAGACATAAAAACTACATTAACTAGAGCTAAGCGACGCGACGCAACACGACACAACTGATTGCATGAAATATTTCACCAAGAAGTCCACACGCGTTACCCTGGTGCTATCAAAAAATCCTGGGGAGAACACTGAAATAGTACCAAATAATATCTTGATTTTTTTAATGGGTTACTGTCTTTTGACATATACCCACATCTGCTTTTATGTATGTGGGTATGCAACTTTGTTGACAAAAAATGACTTTATACCTTAATATTCCTTCCTCCTATCATCACACCATTCATCTGTTCTAAAGATAACTGTGCTGCTTCTGGTATGTCATATTCTATGAAGGCAAAACCTTTGTGTTTGTTTGTTAATGGATCCCAGGACAAATTAACTGATTTGATGGGACCAAATGGTAGGAATGCCTGCTTTATGGTGTCTTCTTTAATCTCAAAGTTAATACTTCCTACATATATTCTGAAAAACACAATAAAATATCTTATCATTTATTTCAAAATCAGAGATTCTGGCTCAAAGGTAGCTTTTTAAAGCAGTAAGTACATGTTTGCTGTCTTTGTGTGTCATAACATAGACTGGTATTTGGCTGGTGGAGAGTTGTCTCATGGGCAATCATACCACATCTTCTTACATTCTATATTGAATACAGAGTTTGTTGCTCGTGCTGTGTGGATGCATTAGAATGTGTCCACGTGCTTATGGTATATGTCCTTATATTTCACGGTTAGTTCTTTTTGCTGGTGAGAGATTTGTACTTCATATCTTTACTTTTTTTGTTAGGTTTCTTTTGAGCTTTGAATCACTTGAATGATTTGGCACCAGCAAACATGTTTAACCCCACCACATTGACACATTCTGTATGTTCCTGTCTTAAGTCAGGAGCCTGTAGTTGTCCTTTGTTGCTGTATATCATATTTGCTTTTCTTTCATTGTTTTGTTCTTAAATGAGGATGTTAGTTTTCTTAAGAGTTGTCTCATTGGCAGTCATATCACATCTTCTTATTTTTATATTTATATAAGAATTCCCTCAGTCTGGTAAATATCAATTTTCTTCATTAAGACAGTCAAATATTGAAGTTGAAAAGTGTTCATATAGTGAATTTGTGACTATCATATATAATTTCTTTCATGTCTTTCTAATGGAACAATTTGTACTTACCTACACATTAGTGCCAGTGCTTGCTGTCTCTGGACCGTATTCTGAAAATTCTGCATTTGCTAAAAAGATAGAAAAAGATAATGGCATAAGATTCAGCTGTCTAGACTATTTCCAAATAGATCTAATGTTAACTTAATCCTCCCTTGTTTTCTTGGACATTGAAAGAAGAAAAAATCTACAGCTATCATAATGTCACAGCAGAAAAGTAGATTGATTTTCAGCCCAACTATCATATTTCTAAGTGTATGTAGCTACCAGATCAGAAATGAATGAAAAAATATCTTTGTCCAGTCAAGTTTTATAGAAACAGTTGGCATTCCACATTCAATAAGATAAAGAAATCAGGGAATATGCATATAATATTTTTTTATTTTTCATTAAACTGCAGTCTTCTTTTTAACCATGTGAGTCTGACCCCCAATGCCAGTTAATCAATATATTAACGAAATTCCCCACAAGATGTTTCCCTGGCTGTTGGAAAAAAATTAGTCTAGACTGCACTGGAACAGAAACAATAAACTGCTTCGCTGAGCGCAGCTGGATACGCCCGCAGAGGTCCAACCCTGAACAGTTGGGTCAAAAATGGACACAATATTCAAGCTTGATACAGGTCTGAATTTGGATTGTATTAAATATTTGACATATTATAGGTTTCTGGATAAATGAATTCAAAGAACTTGAACTTGGTTATATGAATTGAATTTATATTTAATTAAGATTTCTTGCTGTTGTGCAATACACTGTGCTGTTTCGCAATACTTAGTAAATCTGTTGTCAGACTATAAACAATTAAAGTTCAATTAATTCTCAATGTCATATAAGAAATTTATAAAAATGTAAAGGCAGCTTACATCAATAGATATAAACAATTCACCAAAGTTTCATGAGAATTGCTGACAGCATTTTTGAGTTACTGTCCGAAAACTGGAAAATCCCCCCTTTTTTAATGAATAAAACCCCATAACTCCAATGTAAAATGTAAAATTTACAAAATTCTAAACGGAGCTTACATCAATAGATATAAACAATTCACTAAAGTTTCATAAGAACTGCTGAAAGCATTTTTGATTTTTTGTCGGAAAACTGGAAAATCCCCCTTTTTTTAGGAATAAAACCCTTTAACTCAGAAACGTAAAATCTAAAATATATAAAAATCAAAAGGGAGCTCATGTCAATAGATATAAACAATTCACCACAATTTCTTGCAAGTTGGTGAAAGCATTCTTGAGTTATTGCCCGAAAACTGGAAAATCCCCCTTTTTTTAATGAATAAAACCCCATAACTCGGAAACGTAAAATCTAAAATTTATAAAAAACGAAAGGGAGCTCACATCAATAGCTATAAACAATTCACCAAAGTTTTATGCAAATTGGTTAAAGCGTTTTTGAGTAAATGTCCGACATGTTGACGACGGACGGACAGACGGACAACGGTATACCATAATACGTCCCGTAAACGGGCGTATAAAAAAGGAAATAAAGACGACGCCAACGTCATACCAATATACGACCGCAAAAATTTTTTGCGGTCGTATAAAAAGGAAAAAAAGAAAAAAAAAGAAAAAAAAAAAATCCCCCCCCAAATTTTTTAAACCCCCTTATGATTCATCACCCCCAAACTCAATCCCAGCCTTCCCTTTGTGGTATGGTACCTTGCAGTACAATTTCAGAGAGATCCATACACTTGAACACAAGTTATTGTCTGGAAACTAGAAAAATGCTTATTTTTGGCCCCTTTTTGGCCCCCAATTCCTAAACGTTTCGGGCAATTACCCCCAAACTCAATTCCAGCTTTCCCTTTGTGATATGGAACCTTGTAGTACAATTTCAGAAATATCCAAACACGTACACACAAGTTATTGTCATGAAACTAGAAAAATGCTTGTTTTTTGCCCCTTTTTTGGCCCCTAATTCCTAAAATTTTGAGGCAATTACCCCCAAAATCAATTACAGCCTTTCCTTTGTGATATGGAACCTTGTGGTACAATGTCAGAGAGATCCATACACTTACACACAAGTTATTGTCTGGAAGTTACAAAAATGCTTATTTTTGGCCCCTTTTTGGCCCCTTATTCCTTAACTGTTGGTACCATAACCCCCAAAATCAATCCCAACCTTCCTTTCGTGGTATTGAACCTTATGGTAAAATTTCATGGAGATCCATTCACTTAAACCAAAGTTAGAGTGCGAAAACCAATGTGTCTTCGGATGACGCCGGACGACGACGACGCCAACGTCATACCAATATACGACCAAAAAATTTTTAATTTTTGCGGTCGTATAAAAATCTAAACACATGTTTAGATTCAGCATATCAAAGAACCCCAAAAATTCAATTTTTGTTAAAATCAAACTAAGTTTAATTTTGGACCCTTTGGACCTTAATGTAGACCAATTTAAAAAACGGGACCCAAAATTAAAAATCTAAATACACGGTTAGATTTGGCATATCAAAGAACCTCAATAATTAAATTTTTGATGAAATCAAACAAAGTTTAATTTTGGACCCTTTTTACCTCAATATGAACCAATTTGATAGCGGGCCCACAAATAAAAAATCTAAATACATGGTAAGATTCAGCATATCAAAGAACCCCATATATTCAATTTTTGTTGAAATCAAACAAAGTTTAATTTTGGACCCCAATTTGGACCAACTTGAAAACTGGGCCAAAAATCTAAATTCTAAATACATGTTTAGATTCAGCATATCAAAGAACCCCATATATTCAATTTTTGTTGAAATCAAACAAAGTTTAATTTTGGACCCCAACTTGGACCAACTTGAAAACTGGGCCCATAATCAAAAATCTAAACACATGTTTAGATTCAGCATATCAAAGAACCCCAAGAATTCAATTTTTGTTAAAATCAAACTAAGTTTAATTTTGGACCCTTTGGACCTTAATGTAGACCAATTTGATAGCGGGTCCACAAATAAAAAATCTAAATACATGGTTAGATTCAGCATATCAAAGAACCCCAAGAATTCAATTTTTGATGAAATCAAACAAAGTTTAATTTTGGACCCTTTTGACCTCAATGTGGACAAAGTTGATAATGGGGCCCAAAAATCAAAAATCTAAATACATGGTTAGATTCAGCATATCAAAGAACCCCATATATTCAATTTTTGTTGAAATCAAACAAAGTTTAATTTTGGACCCCGATTTGGACCAACTTGAAAACTGGGCCCATAATCAAAAATCTAAATACATGTTTAGATTCAGCATATCAAAGAACCCTAAAAATTCAATTTTTGTTAAAATCAAACAAAGTTTAATTTTGGACCCTTTTGACCTTAATGTAGACCAATTTGAAAACGGAACCAAAAATTAAGAATCAAAAACACAGTTAGATTCGGCATATCAAAGAACCCCAATAATTCAATTTTTGATGAAATCAAACAAAGTTTAATTTTGGACACTTTGAACCTCAATGTGGACCAATTAAAAAACGGGGCCCAAAATCCAAAAACTTAATACTTGGTTAGATTCAGCATATTAAAGAACCCCAAGAATTCAAGAATAAAACCCCATTGAAATTGATCAAGAAATAAGCAATTTATACGAAGTATCTTCTTTTGCACAATACTGTGCAATTGAATATTTCTTGCTATTGTGCAATACTGTACAATTGACAATTTCTTGCTATTGCGCATTATTGTGCTATTGGATATTTCTTGCTATTGCGCAATACTGTGCAATTGAAGATTTCTTGCTATTGCGCAATACTGTGCAATTGAAGATTTCTTGCAATTGTGCAATACTGTGCAATTGAAAATTTCTTGCTATTGCACAATACTTATTATATAATAATTTACACATCCTGTTTGGTGTGTATCTCCTACCATATCATTATTATTTGCTTTTAAATATTAATCAGAAATAACCAACTTAAAATGGAAAATTTTAAAAGAAAAAAAATAAAATGCTTCGCTGGGCGCAGCTTGATACGACCGCAGAGGTCGAACCCTGAACAGTTGGGGCAAGTATGGACACAACATTTAAGCTTGATACAGCTCTGAATTTGGATTGTGATTAAATATTTGACACAGCATAGGTTTCTGACACAGAAAGAATGTGGTCTAAGAACTTCAATTTTTTTAATTTACCTATTATGGTCCAATGTCCAAAATCAAAATACATGGTTAGATTCAGCATATCAAAGAACCCCATATATTCAATTTTTGTTGAAATCAAACAAAGTTTAATTTTGGACCCCAACTTGGACAAACTTGAAAACTGGTCCCATAATCAAAAATCTAAACACATGTTTAGATTCAGCATATCAAAGTACCCCAAGAATTCAATTTTTGTTAAAATCAAACTAAGTTTAATTTTGGACCCTTTGGACCTTAATGTAGACCAATTTAAAAAACGGGACCCAAAATTAAAAATCTAAAAACACGGTTAGATTTGGCATATCAAAGAACCCCAATAATTCAATTTTTGATGAAATCAAACAAAGTTTAATTTTGGACCCTTTTGACCTCAATATGAACCAATTTGATAGCGGGCCCACAAAATAAAAAATCTAAATACATGGTAAGATTCAGCATATCAAAGAACTCCATATATTCAATTTTTGTTGAAATCAAACAAAGTTTAATTTTGGACCCCAATTTGGACCAACTTGAAAACTGGGCCAAAAATCTAAAATCTAAATACATGTTTAGATTCAGCATATCAAAGAACCCCATATATTCAATTTTTGTTGAAATCAAACAAAGTTTAATTTTGGACCCCAACTTGGATCAACTTGAAAACTGGTCCCATAATCAATAAAATGCTCCGCAGGGCGCAGCTTGATACGACCGCAGAGGTCGAACCCTGAACAGTTGGGGCAAGTATGGACACAACATTCAAGCTTGATACAGCTTTGCATTTGGATTGTGATTAAATATTTGACACAGCATAGGTTTCTGACACAGAATGAATGTGGTCTAAGAACTTAAAAATTTTAAATTGGACATCCACCTATTATGGTCCAATATCCAAAATCTAAATACATGGTTAGATTCAGCATATCAAAGAACCCCAAGAATTCAATTTTTGAT